TGATTGCACCTCCACATGGCCCATAGCCTGTTGATACTAAGACATCAGTCGATATCAGTAGAAAAGGTGCTACAGTGGGCACTGTGACCTGATGTATGTTTCCCAGTCCTCATGAAGACGGTAGAGAAGCTTTACCATCAGAGCAACCTTAGAAGAAACATTAAAACCTCAGTAACTGTAGTTCCTTTCTTCGCTGCATTGCACTAAGAGCATAGGGAGGTATTTTTCACTTCAAGGAAGCTCTGGCTGTCACCATTGAGGAATGTATGTTGTGTCCTGGGACTGCGAGAATTCAGGTATAGCAGTATCTGTTTCTCTTCCTGGATTGTCCCTGCCCACAGCAGTGGGGTTGGAACTGGATGATATTAAGGTCCTTTCTAACCCAAACCATTCTATGATTCTAAGATTCTGTTAGTGCCTTTGAATGGGTAGGCATTTTTTTCCTTAGTCCTCACCCATGCCAAGTGGAGAAAGGAGTTCTGGTATCATCTCAGCAGCTTATGTTGGAAGGCAGAAATCAGAAACCCTGGTAGAAATCAATATAAGTGGCAGTAGCCCCCCATTCCCCCTGCTCCTGTAATGCAAGATGCATTGAGTCAGGTTCTTTCAGCAAGGGACAGGGTGAACCAAGAACTCTTTCATCACATCCTTTTCTCTCTCTTTTAGCTTCAGTGAAAAACTGAACATAGTCTACTTCACTAATAAATTCCTGCTGCACTTTCTCACAGCAGTGTTGCAGGATGGATTTATCCAGAGCAGTGGAGTTTCCTCCAACAAATGAAGGCAGGGCAGACAGCAATGGCTTCAGACCCAAGCAACTTATACAGATTCAGTGCAATGTTTTGTTGACTGGGAGAGTGAGTTTGAACTGCACAGCCACAGGTCTTTTAATACTCCTGCTCACCTCATTCCTCTTCTGCAATAGTTCATCCAGAGGAAGCACCACTGCCTGCAGCTCCTATCACAGCAACCTCAGGATGGACACCTCTGAACACAAACAGCCACAGGGATGGGCTTTCTCTCCACCTCACCTTCCCCCAGCAAGTCTGTAAACTCTTTCATACAGCAAAAAAATACTACTTCTTCTGTTAGCTCAAACCTTTGCCTACACACAGAGGAGAGCAAACAACACAATCTGCTGTTTGGGTGAGAGAATATGCTGATGTTTACTCTTTCCTGATCCTGCTACCAATGTGTTGAGGACCGGTAGTGGCTGCAAGCCTTTACCAGGAAAATTGGAACCACAGCAACTCTCAGGTGTTCAGGTTTTGTCTGTTTTCCCTCAAAAATTCTAGTGTTACGAGATGAAATGGAAATGGAAGGTTCCAGCCATCTGAGAGCTACTTACTGGATTGGGATCTTCTTTGGCTCTGGGCAGAGCAGCATCTATCAGCAGCGTAACCCTCAAAGTAGTTATTAGAATCATAGAATCATCCAGATTCTATAATTCTAGGTTGAAAAGACTTTTAAGATCATAAAGTCCAACCTCTACCCCAGGACTGCCAAGGCCACCAATAAACCATGTCCCTAAGGGCCTCATTTGCACAGTTGTTGAACCCTTCCAGGGATGGCGATTCCAGCCTGTTCCAATGCCTGACTACATTTTCAGTGAAGAAATGCTTCCTGATATCCAATCTAAACCTCCCCTGGCACAGCCTGAATGTGTTAAATTCATTCTACGGATACTGCTGAAGGGAGATATCTACTCTAATGCATCCATCTGATCATTAGACAGCATTCTGCGAAAACATAGCATCTAGAAGCTAACAGTATCTGATTGAATTGAAGACTTTATGAAACTTCATTCATATTTTGGAGCAACCCCATCAATACTAGGTCTCTTCTTATAGTTTCCCTCCCTCAGTGTTAAACATAAATCAGCTTCAAGCAGTTTTTCTTGATATTAATTTGTGCTCAAATATTATGGGCTTTTTCCTTCTCTGTCTAAATATTAAGTCTGTTTAGGCAAAGAACAGCAGACTGAGAGGGAGCACAACAGCATAGGCAGGGAATTTCCCAGAAGGTGAGGCATTCTCTATGCCCACTGAGGACAGAGCAAACACACTTAAATACAACAGGGGAGTCAGTTAAGTGAGTAACCAAAGTTGTCCAACTATAGAAATCTTTAAGCAATTTGCTCTGACAGCTAAAATAGTTGGCAGAATATACATCCCTGAAAGCTCAGAACAGGTTACACAAACATCTACAGGAACAGCACAGGTATTTCTGTATGCAGTCACTTTCTGTGGGAACTATCCCTGGCATTGCAAGGTCTATGGGGCAGACCCTTAGCTGAGGTGAGCTGCTGTCCCACTACCTTAACCTCAGCAGCACCGAGGTACTGACCCAGCATTCTTCCTTCCTGCCCAATCTCCTCTTCCTTAAAATGCAGCTGCTAAACATTAGCATAGAAAATAAGCATTTGGCAGATTGAACAGTCATTTCAGAATGCTGCACATTGCTATAGGAACCTGCTTTTATAATTCTCCTTTAGCACCTCTTCTAGCAATGATGCTGTGTGGGTAAAGTTTGTGAGTATAAATACAGGGCATGACCTGTATTTACAACTGTCTGCCAGTTGTAAATAGTCAAACTTCCAGCCACCCACTCAAACCTTTAGTGCTCTCTTTAACGTGCAACTGAAGGGCACATGGCCGGGCAATACTTTCCAGCAAAATAAATCAATGAAAATCTGCATTTTATGTTCTTATTTCTTTAAAAAATAAAATCTGTTTGGCAGCTGTTCTCTTCCATCCTTTCCAGAATCTGGGCTCCATGGATTTCTTGATTTGCATCAACTCCTGTTGTTCTTTCAGTATTTTTCCTTTATGAGTATCTTTTTCCCTTCCATTTTTTTCCCCTGTTCTACACTACTGAAGTCTTCTCTACATGTAAAAAAAATAAGAAAGAGAGAAAAACTCCTATTCGTTTTAATTACTGCTGGAGGATTCCTATGAAATAAAGCACAGAACGGCATTTCAGGTGAAACAGCTACCAACAAATGCAAGTCACCCTTTCAGGCATGTAAGTCTTAAAGGAGCCAACATCATTTAAAGACAACCTCTTGGCAATTTTGGTAGGTACATACTGGGAATAATTCTTAAGCAGCAGGAAATGGGATGAAAAAATTGTTAATCCTCTCGTTGCAGAGGATTTGAAAGGCATGACTGATTGCAGAACTAATGCCCCACCCCTTCTAATTAATGGGACTAGTCACACATTAATTAAGAACACGCATAAGCCTTTGCAAGATGTACGTCATGTGCATGTCGGTGGGTGAGACAGCAGGCTGGAGGGACTGTCGCATCATTATGGGCAGAATTCATTTACTGCAACTTAAACACCAGTTAGAATCTACTGAATTTACTTAACTATCCTGTGGAAAATTATAAATAAGAGCAATGTGACTAATGAGAATAAAAATGATGAATTCCTATTATTCATTCACTTCATAGGGATTCAGGCAGGAGTTCTAGGGAAGTAATACTTGAATTGCACAACAGAGGTGTTCAGAGAAATTTCTGATTCTACATGCCACCTTCCGTTCGTGCCGTAAGACATCCCTGCAGACACTGCCTTGCTGAGTAACTGCATGGGACGGGTTGATGTCGGCTGCCAGTCAGGTGCCCACCCAGCCGCTATGTCCCTCTCTCTTCTCAGCAACAGGGTGAGAAAATACCATGAAGAGCTCATGGGTTAAGAGAGAGCACTCAGGAATTGCAGTAAAGGGCAAAACAGACTCTTCTTGGGCAAGAATAACTCCTTTTTTTTGCAATTATAACACAGTAAATAACCAGAAATAAAACCAAAACTAAGACCACCTTCTCCCCTCCTCCCTCCCTAGCTTCTTCCCAGGCCCAATTTCACTCCTGATTTTTCTACCTCCTCCCCAGTTCTGAGCAGCATAGCAGGATGGAAACGGGGTTGTGGCCAGCTCATAACGCTTATCTCTCCTGCTCCATCCTCTTCCATGAACATCTCCCACTTGGGTTTCCCTCCATGGCTGAGAGTTCCTGCCAGAAAACCTGCTCATGCATGGGCACCTCTCCCCTTCTGCAGCTCCTGCCAGGAATCTTGATGCAGCACAGGCTTGCCACAGGCTGCAGCTTCCTTCAGGACACATCCACCTGATCCAGCGCAGGGTTCTCTACAGACCTCCATGGGCTGCCTCACCATGGAATCTCTGCTCTGCTGCCTGGACTACCTCCTCCCTCTCCTTCCTTACTGACTCTGCTTCTGCCAGGTTGTTTATTTTCCCCCCACTCCCCTCACAGCTGCTGTGCAGCAAATCTTACCCCTTCAATGTGTGCTATCACAGACATGCTGCCAATGTCACCGATCAGCCCAGCTTTGGTCAGTGGCAGGTCCAACAGGGGTGCACCTTCTATTTCCTTTTCACAAAAGCCAACCACGCAGCACCCCATTTCCAAACTTGCCATGTAAACCCAACACACTTCAAAAGCAGAACTCTCTACAGGGCTGAAAAGCACCTTCTTCTGTGCCCATTGTACATAAGTAATGAGGATGTTTTACTTATTTATGTACTGCATCTGTAATAACTATTGCAATGAAATTCTAAAAATCCCTGTCAATTTACTATATACTATTTAAAATACAATACCTATTTTATACTTCTCAGAATGGTAGTTCTTATTTTTTGTATTTTAATTTTTTCATAATAAATAACTGTAAATACATTATAAAATTATAACCAAGTTTCTTATCTCCCTTTCAATCTTTAGTTTACTTTTGTTGAATTGCTTATTTTAGTGTAAGTCCAGCTTCAACAGCTGCTTTCCTTCACTCTTAGTGTTTGTCCATACTGACGCTTGCTACAAAGCTGTAATCATGCTTGTGCTCATGGAAGCTTATGAATTATTTCTCTACCTGGTTTAATCTGCCCACGTTGGTTACACTTGAGCACACTCCTGCCAACTTCCTGTCAAACAAAGCTAGGTATTTTTTCAAATCAAGCTATGAAATGAAGAAAACCACTGCACTGCTGTATGATATAGTTTTATTTTTTCAATGAAATGCCCTAGCATCATAAAACAGAAAACATTTTCTAATCTTGAAGCCAGCAAGATTGGGAAAAAAAAAATAATAATCAGACTTGGTTTTCCTATACATAATTTCTGTACTGAGACTACATTCAGAGAGAAAAGAACAACCTATAATTACATGGAAGCAGACATTACTTACACAGATCTCTTAAAAACAAACTGGACAATGTTATACAGCTCACATGGTGCTTTGCTACTACAGTATGCTACAAATAGAATTATTCAAATGCAACTATACAGCTTCTCTATTACCTAAGATCTTTTCATTTTATTATGTTGCAACACCTCTATTATTTACTTCACACTTCATTACCATACTATGGAACGATCTTTTCTCCTTTTTCTGGTGGCTTGTTTCTCAGAAAGGGGACTTCATTGCAGCTTACTTTGAAACACCAAGCACTCGGTTTCAGGTAGTAAAAATATTCAAAGCATTTCAACATACATTCATAATGAGAAGAAGCCTCCATTTTTGAAGTCAGGGTCTCATGACTTGCTAGGAAGCTAATGGAAAGAGCTGGTTAGTATTTACTCCTGTTTTCACTGATGAGAATGTGGATAGCTGTAATGCCTCACAAATGATCTCGTTTGTTGGTAAACTGAGTGTGCGCCATCATATCCTGCACAAGAACTAGTTACTTAAAGTCTGGGTTCTCTCACAGTATTTATGGACAAACCACAATAACTGTAGAACTTCTTAAACAAATGACACTTAAAAAAACCCCAACAAACCCTGCATTTTTAGAACTCCATAATCTCATTTTCAATGGGGTTCTTAGTTCAAAAGTACTATTCCACTTATTAAACACACCTTTAAAAATACAGTATATGCAACACTTGTGTTACCAATGTCTGAAAAACATCGGATCAAGCAACATTCAACTCGTTGCATTAATAAGGAAAGTAAACAGCAGTACTTCTACTTTTTAAAAGTATTCAAGTATTTCCCTGAAATACTATTAAAAAAAAAAAAAAGAACCCAGTTCCTAAACTATGTATGGCTGTACTTTAAGCAAAATCATTTGCAAGTGCTTTTTGTCCTATAGAGCAGTATGAATAATACTTTGTAGCAAAGATATAGCACACCATTTTGATATTACACAAAACTGGAATGTAAATAACTTCAATTAAAAAAAAATCTGCCATTTATAACAATTTTCAAGTGCTTCAGTAATAAAATGACCAATCACCGTGGCTTACACAGACCAATGAGAGACATGAAAGGAATAAACGCTTAATGATGGAAGTGCCAATAAATATACATGAGTGGAGAACCATTAACTGTTCAAATGCAAAAAAAAGACCTCTCAGACGCAATAAGGTTTAAAGACAACTACAAATTTAAGACAGAGGACAGTAGGGGCTAACTTATGATATTCAAACAGGAATAAATCTGTACAACAGCAGCAAAATTTAGCCCCAAGCCCAGACACAGAACATGTATGTGTCACAATACACAAATTCAAACACAATGTAAAAAAATCACTCCAGAGCTATAGATGATAGTCTGGTTTTTGCTATAAAAAACAAATCAGCACAGTGATTTCATGATTTACCAAATGCCAGTTTCTTCCCTTCGTTTCACAATACAAATTATTTTGTTTCTTATTTAGTTAAATGAACATTACTAAAAAAAAAAAACAAAACCAAAAACCCTTCCAATCAAATATTTTTTAACTTAACATTCCAGCATCTTATTTCACAAAGGCATTTTAACATCTGTAGTAGAATCTCTGAGGAACCGTGTACTGAAAAGGGAAGCTTTTCATATGTTAATTTTAGATTTAAAAGAAAAATCGAAACTTGCTGGTGTTTCAGAAGATATTTATATTTTCCTTTGCCTGTGCCTTTCTGGTATTACATAAGTATCCCTGCAAGATGCTTGCAAGACATTTCAGCTGCAGTGGGCAGTATTTGGTATCCTCCAGTCATAAAACCCTACATCATCCCAAAAAGCATCATGCAAGGAAGCCTTTATAAATAGAATGTATACAACAAGGTATGATCTGTATACAGATGTGCTTTTATCTTTCAAAGTATTTCTAAACTCTTATATTAATTACTTAAAGCCAGGAATGTGTGTTTGAATTGCATTGATAAGTTGCAAGGTATAGTCAGAACTACAAAATGAAAAGTTGTATTAAACAAAGATGTGAATGACAACAATGTTGTCCAGTATTTAAGCCACATGTAACTATGGAACGACACCAGCAAAAAAACATCTCAGACTCTGAAAATGTCTTGTCTTGATCTCTTGGTTTGGTGACAGTGGAAAGTCCAATGTTTTGTAACATTTGGATATTATTGCAACACATTATAGCTCTCCAGAAAAGCACAGAGAATTCATCAGTCATCATGATTACACACACGCATATATACATATATATATATATATATATGCGCCAATTCTCTCCTTTCTAACATTGCTCCAAGGTACATTTTAATGATTATGATGTTCTTTAAAAAAAATGACACAGTGCAATAGGATGTCTAAAACTAAACTGAAGCTGTAAAAAAACAAAAACTCAAACCTAAAAGTTTAAAATACTTGTCAATTTGACTAAAATGCATATTTACTCAAGTTTCTTGAGCTTTCATTTTTTCTTCTCCCCATTGGAGGAACAATGTTTACAGTAATTGCTCAACACTACTCTGGCTGTAGGCAGCTTCATCTTTACAGGTTTCCTCGATTCCCCTTGCAAATAGTTTCATTAACTGGCAGTGAACCCTGGAAAATATAGAGATCAATTAATAAGAAACAAATGGATACTATGCATTTAATTCTAATAATCCATTAATTTTAAGCAGTTAGAAAAAGTTCCTTGCTCCAGACTACAGAAAACTCACTCTCATTTTTGATACAGTCCTTTCCTGCAAAGAAGGTTGGATGATTTCACATATCCATCACTCAGGTTATTCCTCTTTTCCACACACAGAATTGTATGGGGCACTTAGATGAGCTGATTTTATAAAATACACAATATCCATAGAAATCACTTTTGGAGTGGAATCATGTTTAATGGACACACTTGTATGTAAATATTAGGTATTTTTGCTCCCTTTATTCTAAAAACAAAAAACAAAATCAACCAAAAAAACCCAAACAATTCAATCAAAAAACCCTTTCAAATTTTACAAACCTCTATTCCTTTCTAACTTTATTATTTACACAACTGCAAACTTCTTTTCTCCATATGCAAAGGCTGGAGATAAGACTCAGTGGTGTGTGTTAAAAAATACAAAGTATGGGGCACACTCATCTGCAAGACAATGATGCTTACTTAAGTTTATGTTTAACAGGAAAGGCTGTACCTCAGTGTAATAAGCTACTCTGCCCTTTTGAAAAGAATCCTCCCAACACAAGCAAGCAGCAGCTCCTAAGAAGTAAGTATGACTTCCAAGGTAGGGCCATTCATCTTTCTCAGAGTGATCACTTACACTTATTCTCTGGAAAGGACTCAAAAAAGGATATATAAAAAAGTTTATTATCAGAAGACCCAAATTTACTATGTAGAAGCACCTTTTGTGGATGTCTTTGCGAGCATCTTTAAAAATCAGTGAAAAGGCCTGATGTTTATGGAGAAAAATAATCAATGCTTACCTCACTTCAACTGCTGAACTCTCTAGAGTTTCTCCATCACAATTCCAGGTGCTATTAGCAATACTACAGCAACAGGCTGGGTGATCTCGGCAGAACTGGCCAAATCGTTTCTTTCCCACGTCAGTGACATTGCTTTCATTGTCTTCTGAAAGCTTTGAAGTAAATTGAAAACTCTTCACCCGATGAACATCTACAAATGAGAAGTCAAACTACACAGAAAAAAACAAATCAAAACAGGCAATTACAATTAGTTAAATACATTTGATGTGTAAAGCAAGTCAGTGTGCAGCATTCTGTATTCAAGTCTGTCCGCTCCAATTTTCTGGAGAAGCTTATCTGAGGCAGAGTGTGATTTTTGTTTTTAAAAAGCAGCACAAGCCAGAAACAATAAAGCCAAATTGGAACATTACTTTTCAAGGGTCCTCTTCAAGTGGCCATGTTATAGATAATCAGGTAACAGGTTTTGTGATTATGAGTCAATGGGGTATAAATCATGCCCTATAAAAACTAATATAGCATGGAATTGAAGTCAAAAAGGTCTGGATTGGATCTTTGTACCATTCTCAGGACCTCTTCAACTACAGCCCTTAAGACACATGGGCTTTTCTGAAAGCCTTCTGCTTCTGCATTTGGAACAATGTCCTGAAGGTGAGAATTCCATGGCAGTGTGATCACATCCCAGAGTGGGTGTATAGGATAAAAGGAACAGAGAGCAATATTATTGCATTCTAACAAAATGAATGCATTTTTAACTAGTTAATTCAGCCAGAAAAAGTAGGACAGTTAAAAGATCGCTCTTAGAGGATACAGACTATAATATCATAAAAATGCTTTAAAACAGGCTTCATAAATTAAAGGAGCAATCAAATTAGATAGTGCCCCTTGCAATTTTTTAAGTTTTCAAAAAGGGGTTTCCCACTATTATGGTAGACACTAACTTGAAGTGAGGACAGCCCTGCATTTAATCTGCTCTACAAGACCAGCATACGCCAGAGAGAAACAGGTAGGAAGCACTGGAAGGGGAACGGTCACAGTAACAAATCACAAAAAGCATCAGATTTGAAGGGACCTCCTAGGTCTTAAGTTCCCTCAGCTTTTAGCCATAAAAAAGGCTGTCAAATTATCAAAATCCATTCTTGTAAGTAGTGGCTCATGGATACAATGAGGCTCGCTAAGCAGTTTGCTAGTCCAAATAGCTTAGTTGCAAAAACTGGTTTCCACAGCTGCACAAAGCCACCCATGAATGCTCTCACGTTTCAAGTCTAAGCAGAATGAACTTGCTTGATAAATGTTGAGGCCAGTTTGAAAGGCAGACAAGGAAGGCTTCAAATAATCAAAAATATCAAGGGAGCAGTGAGGGTGACTGGGAAGGTGTGAAGGGAAGAACAGGAGACTGAGAATAGCAGGAAGGAGGAAAACAGACACAAAATGTCCCAGGGAATGGTAATGTGACAATAAAGAGAATCTATACTAATTTTTCTATAGAGGAGGAAGAATAGCATCATAAACCAGTGAGATTTATTATTGCTTTTATAACTATGATACTAACCCATTGTTCAGATAATTTCCAGAACACGTTAATATCATCAGGTTGTGAAAAATACTAAACGTGTGTGTTCACAGCCACAGCTCTGGTTTCAACAGATACTACAATCTAAAGCAGTGATGAATCTTTCCTTATAGTCTATCCTGACAGCTACAACATACACAAAGAACAATTTTAAAGCCAAATGAATAAAGCTCATATCCTGATCACATATATGCAGTAAAATTCTGCTAAAAGTTTGCACTTTACAGCCAAAGTGCAGTTCTGGTAGCTTTCTTCTAAACCACATTTGCATGCAGTTTACAAAAAGTGATTTATTATTCTTCACTACAACTTCTACCTCACTTGTGTTGCACTGCTGTGAACAGTTTTTCACGACAAATCACCGTAAATATTGTTCAAACAGCAAATATAAGGAAAATGTTATAAAACAGAATTCAATTCAAAAAAGTGGACTTTTATTAGAATGCTACAGCCAAACATTTGACTTGGCTAGAATTGTTTTTTTTTTAACGGTACACATGATGAAATTTTTTCACCCCAAATGTGGAAACTTTTTTAAAAAACAAAGAAAAACAACAGACCTGCTTTGTAAATGTTTTTTTCATACACGAATATCAATATTTACAACTTAGACTGACACCAGAGAATTCATTGCCAAAGGGAATACATACCTGATCATCTTGGTTTGTATGTCTGACAAGATACCGTAGAAAATCAAATCTTGAGCATTTACGAACTAGAATGAGGTCAGCTGAACCGTCTGCCAAATGAGCTGCTGGTGAAAGACCTTTCGGACTTCGTGGACAGGCACAGCTCATATTTACTGCATTAATCGCTAGAAATTTCCCTTTAATAATCTTCCATTCTTCTTCTTCTGAAACACATCAATAAAGGCATGGAGAGAGGTTATGATTTGATCTACTCAGAAGAACACTAAGAAGCAACTAATGTTGGCAGCTTACAAATTTAAACTGCTCATATTCATGTACTGTCAATAAATATCTAAAACTGCATTTTTTTTAAATAAATTTATTTTTCATATACTAACAGAGCAAGATTCTTTCTCCTTTCACAGACTGTGATTATCTACTAAAACTGATCACCGTTTCTGACATATGAACATCAAATCTAGAATCGGTGCTATTTGGGTAGTCTGTTTCGACCCCAATCCCGAATGTCTGAAGAGTAATACTATTAACAGAGTTGAACTTTCCTGTGCATAAATCTTTACAAATTTCTGGAAACCAGTACAAAAGTCTGTTAGAGATCAGACCTAAACCAGGAGGCAGAGGAATTTTCTAGAACAAAGAAACAGTGGCAGGCACTGCACAGAGTTGTCCTCTAACCTGTATTTTCTTGAATATGGATAAAAACAGATTAGAAAACACCTTTGCATGCTTATATTACACATAATCACCTTCCTCACTGCAAAAAGAAAAAGCCAAGAAGCAGCCATAACACTCCTATTCCCCTCTCAATATGAGTGGATGTAGATAATTCAAACAAACAATTCCACAGCAGTCATGACTGCAGAATAGCCTTTGAAGCTATGTGCAGTTCTAAGACTGGAGTTCAGGAGTGAAGTGCCATTGCGGATGATGGGGGTAAAATTCAGGACTTAACTAAAGTTGTTTATATAAGCTTATTAAAGTTTAACCATGAAAAAAAAAGCAAGGTTGAGGTTTTGAGGCATATTAACTGGTATGGACTTAGTAATGTAATGTTATTCAGTTCCCCACATCTGGGTTACCTTATAATTATCGTCAAGGTGCTTCTCTGATGGGACTATATATGACATTTATGGTATATATTTCATGCACTGAAATTCTGCTGTTCTTTACGGTCTTAGTTTTAGGAACTTTACATGTACTTTAAAGAATCAGTTTTTACAACTGTCAAGGTAACTGAACCTAAAGCCTATGATGCATTCATTTTGAATTGATCTCTTCCAAGCTTTATGCACCACTAAAAGAAGAAAAAAATAAGAAGAAAAAAAAAGTTTGAAAAGTATGCTGCATTTGTTCTTTGCTCTTTGAACTTTACTTGCTTCCTTGAATTTTTATTCACTGGAACTTCTTACTATATACACTTCAGCAACAAAACCAAGAAAAACAGAACTCTGGGAAAAATAGAGCAGGATTATAATGTGACAAAAGACTTAAAGGAACCCAAAACCTTCCATCTACGCTATCCTCTCTATCTCCTGACAAACCAAACAGTAACAGCAAGAAAAAAAAAAAAAAAGCAGCTCTTGAGTTCAACATTTTCACATCAATAGCCAGAGTGGTTTTAGAATTGCTTGCTTTACTGCTGTTCTTTTTATGTTGCTTTCAAACAGTACAATACAGAAAGGAATAATTTAAAATCATATTCAAAAGGTGTATCTTAAGAGAGATGAGAAAAACTTAAATGTCAAACTACAGAACTACTTTGTTCGGGCTGTAGGCAAATGACGAGGCCCTGCTCGGAGATGAAGGTAACTGAACAGAACATAAGAAACGACTACAACTGGAAACATCTATGTCCAGAACTATACAAGTGCTTATTTACAAGTTCTCTGATACACAACAAAATAACACAACACCCTTTACTGATAAATCCTTTTGTTGTTTATCTGAGAATCATCATGAATTTAGTCTACAGCATGCTACACGTTAACTTTTAAGTTATGCTCACTGTAATAAATAAGCCTCAAATCACCTAAGGGAGAATGCTTATGAATGTCACTGTAATAGCTTGTTTTCACCTGGTGGGAAGAGTACCATACAGTATACATTTCAGTATGTTAATAAAAAAAAAAAAAAAAAGCTTTACCGTTCCAGTAAGAATCAAGTCAGGATATTTATCACATTTTAAATGACCAGCTGCTTTCGTAAGCATTCAGTGGGGTGCATCACTGTAATAGCACAAATAACTCACCAAAAATATCCTTCATACAATAGAGCAATCATAAGCTCATTTCAACTATCTATTGTGTATAAATACATGGCAAGTTGCTGAAATCAGCATCAAGTACTAAGTGTTTACTCAGCACATACACATAGACTTCAGCACAATACCAAGAAATATGCACAGTGACAGCCAATGCAAGCATCCTTCTAAACTTACCTAAATTGTACACAAACCAAGTACACAATGAGAGAGTCAACCAACACAGCGTGCTGAGTAAAAAGCTTGTCTGAGGGGGTGATTTAAAATCGTTTTCATTGCAAATCAAGAGTAGCTGACTGTTACTGTTTGCTTACCAGTACTAAACAGAGAAGAGACTGGACTGCAAAAAAAGCCAGCCAGCAGAAGTAAAATGGATTTAAGTAAACAATATCCTACATAATTATCTGTTTAATGTCTTGGGCAATGCTGGCTAAAGCAGTCTTGATGGCTTGATAATCTGTGGCTTTCTCCTGCCTGGGCTCCATCAAAGCAAACAAAACGGCAGATTTAAAAACCAAACCAAACAATCCTCCCCCCCAAAAAACAATAACAAAAAAACCTCCACAAACAAAAGGAAAAAGCTTGGTAATTCTGAACTACAGGTATGTCTCAAAAAGACAGGATTGGTTTTTTTTCCCCTTACCAAAACCCCTACTATCACATTTAGTTCTTAGGAAAACATTATGTAAAGCAATTTCTTTAGCTAAATCTAGGCATAAATTAAAACAACTCAAGAAACACTGCAATCTGCCCATCTGCTGACTACATCAAAGATCTAAAAGCAGTAGCTGGGATAGAAATACTATATATAAGCATGTGTAACAGGAATTCAAGTTGGCATAAAAATCTATATACTGTCTTTATGGTGCCAATGAATCTCTATAGTATGATGATACTTTCTTTGCTAACAGTCTTTGCTAACCTGGCAAAGACACTGTGCAAAAATAACTGTAATTATAAGAATCCAGGTCATAAGGGCCAATGGTTGTGTCAAGAAAATTACAGGTTTAGGCACTGGGCTTTACAAGAAAAGAAAAAATAGAGTAAAGGCAGAAGCAAGCACCCATGGAAAGGCTTCCTGCTGTTTAATGAAGGGTTTATCTGAGATGACAAACTTGGATCAGAAGCAAAATTCAGCCAACTGAATCTGTATCTTACTTCAGCAAGGCCACAAGTTCTCCCCATTAGGACACAGTAGTCAGACAAAGATACAACCAGGAAGATGACAGCACAGAATCCAGTATATTGACAGTTGTTTTAATAAAAGGAACAAAGAGTTCTGCCTATAAAAAAAAGAATCCCTGGAAGTGTAGGCAGAAGCTGGAACAAAAGGAAAAAAAGAGAGTAAGGATAACACAACAAGAGAAAGAGGAGAGAAATCTTATCATTTATGCTGAGTATTGGTGGGGTATAGTACAGCAATACTTCAGGACACTAGATTGTTATTAGTTGTCTAAGTTCACTGCCTCCCATTTTCTTATTAAACAGCTTTCCATAGGGTGACTTTTGCACTGGAAAACACAAATTTTTAAACCTGATCTATTCTAAAAGCTGTCTTAATGAACTGCTTCCTTCTGTACTGCCTCACAGTTTAGGGTTGAGCCCTTCTCTCAAAAAGAACACAGAGTCCTAGCTCACAAAATATACCTTATGTGAGGAAGAGAGACCAAACCCATCAAAATATACAAGTGACCAGTACAATTTATCAGAATTTTCTGAGTTTTGGATGGAGAAGACACCTTTTATTTTTTTTCCACATATTTACATGTATTTTTCTTCAACTTAAAGAAACAATGTAAACTCACAATAGTTAAAAAACCCAAACCACACACACACACTTGAACTGATATATTCTGAAAAACAACAATTTGTATATTACACTATCGTGCTTTTTCTGGCAAATTACCTTCATGCTTTAATCCACACTGCTTCTGCTGCTGTGCCAGCTGTTGCTCACTTTTCTTGCAAATGTAACATCTGAAAACAAAAATAACACTCAGTTCCTGAAAACAGAATTATTACTCAGTTCAACTTTTTTGTTTTTCCCAATCATTGCAAGATCTCCCTACCCCAAGATGCAGCATGGCCAGCTGTCCAACCTAGGAGGCTGGCCTTCTTTGCAGCATGGACACAAAAGGTACAGCTTAATCAGATACAGCTGCTGTCCACCAGGATCCCAAAGTTCTTTTCAGCAGAGCTGCCTTCCGTGCCAGTCAGTAGTATTCCATCAGCCTATTCACCCATGATGTTTACCTCTTCTGAGCTTCAGCAGGTTCCTATTGGCCATTTCTTCAGCCAAGGGGCCTCAGAATGGCAGCCCTGACTTTCAACATGTCAACCACTCTTCCCAATCTGGTACCATCCATAAAACTGCTGAGTGTGCACTCTCTGCCACCATCCCAGTCCCTGATAGTGATATTGCACAGTATTAGCCCCAGTACTGGTCCCCAAGGAGCACCATTAATAATCAGCTGCCAACTGGTCTTGGTCCTCACAACCATTCTAACAATCTTCCCAGTTCTCTACCCATCCACTAATCTAGACCACATCTCAACATTTTGGTTTTAAGAATACTACAGGAAACAGTACCAAAGGCCTTGATAAAGTTATGTAACACCTACCATTTCACACTCATCCACAGGCCTTTGGTATCTGTAAGTACCTGTAAAGCCTCGGGGAAGACAACATCAGTGGAAAGTGGGATAAAGGAGCAATTTTCTATTACTTTTCCCTGTCTTTTTATTACTAGGTACCCCACACTACTAAGCAGCAAGCCCACAGGTCCTTTAGCCTTTAGCTTTGATTGCTATACTTCTATAATCCCTTTGTAAGAAGTAACACCCTTCACATGCCTCACTGATTTCAATTCCACCTGAGCTTTGGCTTTGTCAGCTCCATCCCTGTGTGTTTAGGCTATGTCTCTGGTTTCTTCCAAAGTAAACCATTCCACTTGCCCCTTCTCTTTACTTCTCAGATACTTGCTCATTCATATTGGTTTTCTATCAATCATTCTTATTCAAGTTTCTGCATATCAAAATGGGCTGCTCTCCTGCTTTGAGAAATTACCAGCTCTCTTGGGACTCTGTCCTCTGGGGCAGTCTCCCATGGAATCTTGCCAAGATTCCTGAATAAACCAAAATCTGCTCTCCGAAAGTTCAGAACTGCAACTCTTCTTTTTGTCTTGCTTACTTCTCTCAGGATTTTAGACTCTGTAATCTCCCAGTCACCGCTGCCCCCAATTTTCACATCCCCTTTTCTGTAACAAGACCAGCAGAGCACTTGTCCTGGTCAACTTGCCAATCACCTGCACGATCACTGCCATCACCACACTCCAGAATACTTCTAAATGGCTTGTACCCAGCCCTATTTCCCTTCCAACAATTAGCAGGATGTATAAAATCCCACATGAGGAAACAGGCACTCCTTACTCTCTGACTGAGACCTGGATACAGCTTTCTCCCTCTGGAGTTTCTCCTGCATCAAGGCACCAGATGGATCAGAATAGTTCATTCAGCTAGTACTGGAGACCTTGATCTGCAGTATGTCATAGCACTAACACAGCAGAATCTCAACAACTTCCATGTAGTTTCTGGCCAAAGATTCTGGCTCCTTGGTATCCTGCTGTTGCATTTGCTGCTGTAACAACTACTATATCTCTGATAGATACCTTCACATATAAAGAGGAATAATAAATACTGCTGCATAATTTCAAGCACGTGAAAGCAAAGAGAAAGGAAGGAACACTGGGAGATTGAGGTAGGTTCCCTGGTTGAAGAAACAAGTGAAGAATAACACATAATTTATACAGCATTGTAGCTGTCTATAAAAAGAGTGCTAAACAGGGTGATTACTGAGGACATATCCTCAGGACAAGCCATGCCAGCTGTTGTCGTGGCACCAAAACAACCACCAAAATTGCTAGATCCAATTACAGTGTGAACATTTGAGAACATCTGAATAATTATTTCTATTTGTAGAAGCCATGAGGCATCCAGACATTAAATTTATAAACACTAACACAGCATAGTACCCTCAGCACCTTGTAACTGGGTACCATGCTGTTATACTGGGCACTGTTCTTCATTTAAAATTGTGGGAGGAGAGGAAACAGCTAACAAAGTCTTACTACATTTTACATGTTTACCTAATAACATGGTGCTCTCTTTAATAATGTCAATAAAGCTTTTTTACAAGCTTGTATCTTTCAGAGTAAGCGTTCTGATATTAGAAACAACATTTCTGTGACACCTATTTATGTACAGGCTGCATGTCAGATATTCAGAGTTAAACAGTAGCCTACCCTGTTCTGCAGGTATATTTATCTCGTGGAGATCCCAGTGTGCGTTTTGCTGGTTGAAATGAAATTGTTCCTTCATAGTAATGATGAGTAAGAAAGGTCTTGAAGCCTATATATATATGTAAAAAAAATATTAAGCAGCATTACATCATTATAAATCCACATTGCAAACACCTCTGCATACACAGAATCATAGAATGGTTTGGGTTCAAAGGGACCTTCATGAGAGCCGAGTAGAGGGGCAGAATCACCTCCCTCAACCTGCTGGTCACACTCCTTTTGATGCAGCCTCCTCAACTTTCTAAAATTTGCCTACAGTGCCATTACTACTCAACATCTTTAAAAGCCAACTAACATTTTAGCTATATATCACTATCAAATTTTAAAATTGGCCTAATAGTACTAAAATTCTGCTTTTGCACCTTCTTTCCCTAACACAAGACAAATCATAGAAGGCAAAAAATAATCTCCAGTAGTATAGAATTTATCCAAATATTGGCTAACTAGGCTAAACCGCTCACCTCTATGATTAGTGCTAGAAGAACAAAATTAACAATTCATTCCATCACCTGAATGTCCAAAACAGAGGGGTTCTTAACTTTAACAAAGAATGTCAAAATGATTAGTACAGAAGAGATACTACTTCTTAGGTAGATATCACTAGGTCACATATATTCAACACAACTTCAAGGAGCGCATTATAAATGTTGTCCCAAAAGTTATGAACCTCTACATAATGTGATCCAATGTACATGGTCCTACAAGGAGGTTAAAATCATGTTCAGTCTGTTTCTGATGTTTAAGGGCTTCAGAGGTTGGTTTGGAGAGAACATCAACTGCTCTGATATGTTTATGTGCTGACGAAAAATGCAATAATGACACAAGTTACCTGAGTAGTCATATCTCATTGGACCCATCCACCGCTTCTTTTCACTATCTTTTAATACATCTCCATAAAAACCGTAACCCAGCAATGACACAAAATACTTCAAAAATGTGTTGTTATGATGTACAGAACAGACATCCAGAGGCTGACAGTCACCTACGAAAGTGAGAAGTGCAAGGTTGTATTTTGCAGCTGCAAACATGATAGTAACTTTAATGTTACAAAACCTAAAAAAATTTAAAATTTATGTCATATATGTCATATATCTTGCTTACACATGCAGAAAGGGAAAATAATTTTTAATACTAATTTCAGTAATATTTAAAAAGCATTACACACTAAGTGAGAAGAGGTCAAAATGCTAAAAATTTATAAGGAAGAATATATATTCATTTACAATGTAGCAGTAAGTGGGGATGTTATGGATGGGATCAAAGTGATCTATACATTTACCAGATACTACTTAATCCTGTATGTCATTCTATGAGATGATAAGTCATGCTATCAGAGGATAATTCAATTTGGAAGGGGCCTTAGGAGGTTCCTCATCAAACCTCTCACTCCAAGCAAGTTCAGTTATGACATCAGATCAGGTTATGTAGGGCTTACCCAGTCAAGTCCTGAAAATCCCTAAGAACAAGACATATATCACCTCTTGATGTCCTCATAAGGTAAGCTTTGGAGTGGTAGTGGGTTTGGGTGGGGTTGGTGGGTGTGTATATTTACGTCTAATAATCCAACTAAAGTCTATCCATCTCTCTAAACCTAGCCCAATGGCCTAAACTCTCCATAGGCTGGACAGAGTTAACCGTAAGTTAGTAATAGAGAAGCACATGTGTAAACTTGTGCAATACAGTTCCTAAACCTGTAACTGTTAAGCATACAAGCGATAATGAAATAATAGTCATTAATGCTTACACATCATCATCTGAACTGAAGACTACCTTACACAACTTTTCAAATTCAGTATTAACAACTGAGCGAGTATGGTTCTTCAGCATGTGGCAGATAGGATGGACTGAATAAGCCAAGCTGCCTTCCTCAGCCCTCGTGCAGTTCAGGTCCTCCATTACTAGAGGACTTTGAGAAGTGGCAATGTTAGCATCTCTAATGATGACAACATGTCAAAAAACGTTTACTGAAGAGTAATTGTTTTCTTCCCTAGATCCTCCTCAAATATATGACTTACAGATAGTAAAAATGGGAAATTATCAGCTAATTCCAGGCAAGCAGAAGCCGTATTTCTAACTTGGCATGGAAGCACTGAATTGCACAGGACAACTGGGGAACTAGTACAAAACGCAACTATTCAAGTGTACATGCACTTGTCATAGCTTTCTTTAAGAGAAAAGAGAGAGAAAGAAAGAAAAAGCATGCAATAACTTACACTGCTTATTGTATTTTACTGTTATTTTCAAAAGTGTGCGAGAATGCCAGAAAACTTCAGCACCAGATATAAAGCTTCAAAACATTATGATCCCATGAAAACAATGAATTACAGTGGAGAAAGCAATTTATTTTTAACCTCCTGTATCCAAATCGCTTAAATAGCAGACAAAAATGTTATATTTCAACTCAGACATTATGTTCAAATAGGCTATTCTCACCATTTTCATACCAAAACAGTGAACTATAATCACCCACCTACAATAATATGAAGAGCTGATGTCACTGGATCAGAAATGCCAATAGTTGAATAGCATATGCAGTCTGTTGATCCTGAAAAATAAACAACTAGAGATTAATTAATACCCTTCAAAACAAGTTATTATTGGCACAGTTCTCCAAACTAGAGCACTACGGTCCTTTGGCTTGCCCCTTTATATTTTATGGAACTAAGTAAATACAAGGATACCAATACTATGAATTAAAAGGTACCTTTCCTTCTCCCCCTCGATAAGTAGAGCTGTTTCTCTCCACAGCAAGTACAATTTTCACTACATAAACAATAAATATATAGCAGTTAGTGAAGGGAATAAGTTAATTCACATTAAAAAAATTAAAAAAACAGGATTACATTACAGCTTTTATAGCAGTTAAGGGTGGAGGGGAAGGAAGGCATATGCTGATTCTCCTTTCCTCAAGATTTTTTAGTCATTGAGATCTCATTAAAAGAAATTGACTGATAGCCTGGTTTTGGGGTGAAAGATCTAAATTCCAGGCTGCCAATACCCTCTCCTCCTCCAGCTGCATCTTAAACCAGAAACTCCCTCTTAGTTCTATTATTTGAAAATTAGCAAATACTTGCATTCAGTACTTAGTTTATAGATAGGTGAGCAAAGTGGATAGAGATATGCCTTTACAGTCTTGAACAAAAGACCTACAAGAAGAAAGGGGTGAAGCTTTAGATTTCACTTATATTCTGTCTTTGTAAATAACTACCTGCAGGCAACTCTGCAGCCAGTACATCCATTCAGTATTTTAGGTGCTGGTTAGAGACAGGAAATTCTCCCTGATCCCTACAAAAAGCAGTCTAAGAGCATACGTAGGGTTCTGATTTCTGCTCTGCAGCAGGGACTTGCAAGTTAGGGCCAGACATACCAGAGCACATTCGTTGCACTACCTAACTCCAAATTCATCCCATCCCTTCCCTGAAATTTAATTTCTTTAAAGCCAAGGCTAGATATCAGAAAACAAAGTTACTTTGTCCACATACAGGTTCTCAGATTTGCTACTAATATACTAGCTGAAGAGCAGCTCAGATACAGCATACTTCATTTCTGAGGCCTAATCAAACTGAAATAGAAAACTAAAAGTGGAGGAATGAACAACTATTTAAAATGCACTTTTAGTTCTTTCTCGCATTGAAAACAGTCAGGGCATATATAGTTGTCAACAGGAGCAAAGAAAATCCTTTCCCCTCCAACTCTCCAGAAACAGACAACATATCCCCTACCAGAGAAGGGCATTGAGGGAAGCTTCTATCAACCAAATGTATGCTCCCTACAAGGCTGAGGTTCAAAATGGTGCAAGTGGACCACTACAAGTATATGCTGTTGCACAGGAAATGGGTACTCCAATTTCTCTCAGTATTGCAATAGAAAAGGTACTCAGATGATGTTATTATGCCACATTTGGAGTTTTATAGCCAAAAATATTCAGTAGAGTTCAGATACTGAAGCTATGCTTTACTGCCATTTTTTTCAGTTTCATTTTGCCTTCTACACTTGTGAATTTCCATTAAGCAGAAAAAAATATCTCACTACTTTTGAAAAGAAAAAATAAATCAATATAAAATAGCCACTAGAAATAGCCACTAAAAGGTCCGACCTGAACTTTTACAACATTTCATCCAACTTTTATCATTTCGTCAAGACCTGTTTGCATTCTGCTTTTAGAATTACCTTCAGTCACATTTGTCTTCATGTAAGCAAAATTTCCACAGTCTTACACTATAGAATCATAGAATAGTTAGGGTTGGAAAGGACCTTAAGATCATCTAGTTCCAACCCTCCTGCCATGGGCAGGGACACCCTGCCAGGTAGGAGAAGAGGGGGGATTCACTCAAGCTACATTTTAAACTGAAGGCTTACTTCCCTGTAGTATTCTGTAGTCAATTAAAAGCTCATTTATCTGTTGGGCAATTTTATAGAACTTATTTTTATTTCTATTTGTTAACTGGCAAGGGAGGGCTAAAGTTAGATCTGAAGTCTGAAATTAATTCCGAGATTCTAAATAGGAGGCTGGGGAAGACACCAACAGTGTTCAACAACTGCCAAATCATTCCTCTTTCCCAGATGTGCCAGTGGAGTACCAAGTACAAGCAGTAAAATACTGGGGTTTTTTCTCTCTCAGGGCTGGTAGTATGCAGCAACAAAACCAGCATCATTCCTTACGTACATACTAATAGAATATAACTGGTTGTAACACTACACCAAGCATAAATCTAACAGCACTAGTTTAAGGGTCACTAAAATGTTCATTATGACTAAAGATTTGTATCTCTTTGAATACTTCAAAACCAAACAGGAATTCTAGACCAATAGGTGGGTCTTGAATACCCTACAGGCTCTAATACCTGTAGTGACCAGATACCCCCTGCTAAAACATGGATTTAGATGCTCATCTCACCTGCAGACACGTAAACATAAGCAAGAAAAATTGAGTATCAATTTCAAATTGCAACTCACCCTAAAGGAAGTCTGCAGATTACTCTGCTTGGCTTCCAGCTGCTACTCTAGCACAACAGTTGTCTTGCCTAGGGCTAGTGCATTGCAATGATAGTGGCACCGTATCACCACATATGGATAGCTGAATCCCAAACTAAATGTCCAAACTCTCCCACCTAAAGAAAGCTCTCATGCCAGGTATTTTGGTATTAAGAGCTTACTGAAAATATGAAGTGTGTAGAGGGCATACTGACTAGCCTTTATTAAAATATGTATAACTCCTTTGAATCTTTACCATTTATTATGCATACTAGAGCCCAGTTTCATTACCCATTTTAGCCAAAGTCTGTCTGTTATTAGGAGTTATCACAGAGCCACATAGCTCTTTATAGGCAAGCTCTTCTACATCTTTTCCCTCCCCAAACTTAAACACTATTTTTTTTAAACAAATCAATTTAGTAATTTAAAAATTATCAAGGAAACCCTTCCTTTTAATCATAAGGAGAAATGACAGAGATATGTATTTAAAATATTAAACAGTATGTACTCCCCACAAACCATTTTTGCAAGATTAAAGAAACCAAAGTGATGGACTGCACTACACAGAATACACCACAGCTAAATCACCAGACTTCCCCTTTGCATGCAAATACTGCTAGCTATTTGTGAGTAGACAAGTTACAATAACAGGTGCTCGGATACCACCTCACTAGCTTTAGTCATAGAACGACCAAAGCGATAAGCAAAATCTGATGATTTACTGGTTGTACAAAGAGTTCATGCTGTTGATGCTGCAGACAAACCTCTTCCCACCCCATCCCCCCCAAAAAACCCCCACCCAAAATCAACCAACCAAAAAAACAAACTCCAAAACAAAACCACCAAACAAAAACAGAACCCCCAAAGTGTTAGAATTGCTAAACTGAAAAATTATTAAACCAGAACACACACATGCTGTGGGCTTCAAGGATTCTTTTGTGTGCTTTTATTGATGGACAACTGGAAGCACTAAACTGAGCATATGACAGAAGCAATCCAGCTAGATATTGATGCTATAGAAAAGAGTAAATTTAGTAAAGAAATAAGTACTTTTAGTGCTCTGTATGAGATACCCTTGACAAGGGCAGGTGCTTCCACAACACAAACAGAATCCTCAGAGATAAATTAGTATGGCAACAGGATTCTGTACTGCAAACAGGTAGAATTACTTTGATGGGGGTCGCATACATTTGAAATATTTTTGTGAAATCAGAATCCATGCAGTCACCTCACAGATGAAATACCAGACGAGTCACGCTAATGACTGAGTAACCGCATGCTCTTGAGCACGCAGCATTGAGGATTTTGAAAAAAATCCATATGGTGACTTTTCACAGTATCACAGTATCACAGTATCACAGACTTTTCTGGGAAGTGACTTTCAAATGACAAGGATCTGACACATTAAAAAGTAAGAGAGGAAGCTGCTGTTACAGGGATAGATGAATGGCCTGAGTGTACAGTCATGGCCCTACTCAGAGTTTGTACACCTTCCTGTGCTGTCTTTAGTATTCTCAACTTCTACAGCCACGCATCAACGTGCTGATTATAACTACACTGCATGCTTCAATCCATTAGAGTTTATACCTTGATCACAATGAAAACGAGGATCTGGATACACGACATGGCTAATACAGTATATCAATTAACACTTTGTATCTACACTTCACTCCATATTCCCTAGTGCAAGGAAGATCTTCCCCCTACCCATAGGGTAGACTTGCAGACTTATTTGTTTTTTGAAGAACAAATGCGTTAATAATATGCCACAGCACAGATTGAAGGAGATGCCTCCTGAGATTACAAGAGTATTTAATCCAACCCAGGCTCTTTTACTAAAGAGTCCTCCAGCAGCAGCTGACAGCTTTGTCCTCCTGTTCTGTGCTGAGTTTAGTGACAAGAACAAATTACTTCCGCTTGCTCCAGAGAGCATAATTTTAAAACTCAAACATGTGGATGAAACCTCAGTACCATGTGTCATAAGAGAAATGATTTTCTGTTTTCAAATTCTATAGAGGCACTCTACCATTCTGAATGCAGTAAAGAAACCGTGGCTGAATGTGCTTTTAAGGCTAGATGACACTAAGAGGAAGTAATAACTAAACAGAAGTTTTTGTAGGTGTGCTGACTTGTGGTTACCACATCACAATGCAAAATTTTGTTAGGTTGCTACAACCTCTAAGTACTTTTAACAGCAAATCTGTTTACAACAGCACTCAGTCAATTTACACTGGCAGATTAGAAGACTGGCTGCAACTAAGAGAAGTTCGGAAGTTAAAACTACTATTTGAGTAAAAGCTTTATTCATGCCAATAAAAACACAAGTTATTTCATAAAAATGTACCATAAAACACAAGAATAAATGATACTTTTTAACCAGGAAACACACTAAAGAAAGATACACATTTGTTCAAGGAAAAGAAAAGAGGGCCAAGGAGGGTTTGCTCCAGAAAGTCAGTCATGAATTAGAAGTAGCATCCAACATTAATATGGAAAAAAGCCTGCACAAGGGGATTCTGCTTATGAAACAGAGCCAATTACTCAGAAATGTTTATATAGATGAGAGCTTTTTAACATTAAATCTCTTTCATTTGTAATTTCAAGCCTTTGTGTAAGTAAATTGACAATTTCTGAGCAAAGATTAAGTCTGCTGAACTGTTAGCTTGAATACAGACACTGTTTAATCACAATCGCAAACCACAACCTGCTATGCTTCTGTTAACACAGCTTGACATTAGGAAATAAATGATAAAAAAGAAAAGGGAAAACCACCAGTCAGTGCCACCTTACCTGAGGCTCCTGTCCTCACTGAACTTATTCTCTGAACTATGGGTTTGTTTTCAATATCTATTAATGAGATCTTAGGATTTTTAGAAAAAGGTTGGTTATAAAGGACTAAAAAGAGCATCATGGATGAAATCTTTCTAAAAGCATGATTTATATTTCATTATTCCTTTTGACTTGCTGTATTTAAGGACTGTCAGTTTAGTTTAAAAAAATAAAATAAAAAAAGTAGTTTTTAAGGATCTCACTCACTTTGGAACAGACTTCTTACACTAGCCAGGGAGCTACATGATCTGTTGGGGTCAACACACAGTCAGAGCTCCATTACATCAAGCAACTATAAACTGAGAACAGCTTCACCAAGGACTGGAAAAAACCCCTCTTGCTGACTTCCTGACCATCTGCAATGCATGGGTTTGGCTATTTCATATGCAATTAAGGTCCCTGTGATGACTACATGTGTTAAGAAAGAGTTAAGATTTGTTCAGTGATTTGACTCCCTTTTTCAGTAAACATTTTCCCATATTTTCAGTAATGGATCATTTTAAATATTGTACAATATACAAACAGATGAAGATATGTATTATCCTCTGTACCTCCAGAAACTTAATTAATTATCAGAACTTCAGCTTGGAGAAAATACTTGAAACACAGCACTGATTACAAGGCTGCACCTCATGTTAGTTCAAGGAAAGAAGCATGCAGTATACATTCAATAGCAAACAGCTACAATGGACAAAGCAGACAAATACTGAAGTATGTAAGAGAAGAAAGTGACTTAATACATGTCAGCCATACTAAAATATCAGTGAAGATCATACATTTTGGTTGTGTCCAGAAAAAATGCGTTAAAAAATTGTTGAAAAACAAGGTTACTCTTTCAATTTTAACATGCTTATAGTTAATTTCCTAAATCCAAGGAAACAGATCTTAATACTGACGTTCTGTTTTTTCAATTGTATCCTTTTATGGTCTCTAATATCGCAAGTAGGCAAAATCTTCTGAAATCAACCATGTAAGCAAAGAGCTTTAGTCCAAGAACTTTGCCCAAATAATGGAAACAAAGGATACAGCACTTCAAACTCTATGCTTGTTAAGGTTACTATACAAACTGATTTTAATACAAAGCTTTAAAAAACAAAATCAGAATATACTTATATATAGTAAATGCCATAAAGAACCCTTAGTGTGCTACCTTAAAAGCAGAATGAAAAAGTGTAAGGGGATATCCACGTTGGAACTTTTAGGTATCTAACTCTTGTTATATCGCAAGCAGAAAGGGTTAAGCTTCTTCCAAACAACAATTCAGACTATTTGGGTTGGGGTACATTCTTCACAAAGATACAAGTATAAAATTAGTCACCTAAAGCCTGAGGGTACAAATATACTATTTCACTTGGTGTATTTTTATAATCTGTGCTAAATTTTCTCATAAAGTCTGCGTTATAGTTCTAGTCAGAAGCTCATAATGTTTATTTCATATCACAGGTTTTTAATTCAAATCCCAAGCATCTCACAAGAAAGAGAACGGGATAGAAAAGACACTGAACTGTCCATTTGTCTTCACAGAGTCCTCAGAACTGCAGATGCTATTAATGAGCTGCAACAATGAATCCAGTCATGGAAAAGAGTCATCTTGTAAGTTCATTCTTTGAGGAATCTTTAGGGACCAATTGGGCAGGGTGAAGTAACACCCGAGACACCAAATTTAACAAGACTGATACAAAGAGTGTCTATGATCAATAAAATTGTAAGTTTATTTCCAAAGATACAAATTTCAAGGATGAGTTTGCTCAAATGCCTCTCAATGACAATAGTCAGGACTGTCTGAAAAATCAGCTGACATGGACATGGAGAACTGTGAAGATACAGCACCTCTAAAAAGGGGCAGAAACTGCAGCTTAGTTTGGAACCTGAGGGCTCTTCCTCAGACATAGCTGCCCTTTGATTTCTGTGATGACAACGGGAAGTGGGGAAGAGAGAGAGAGGAAACGTTAGCAGTTTTTGGAGTTTGCCAGACTAGTGGGAGGTTCTCAGGACAATTCTAACTAAATCTGTGGAGCACTTGGAACTGGAGAAATACTTACCAGGTAAGTCTCTGTTTAGCAGATTTCACTCAATATGTTCAGATAAGCAAAGGTACTACTTTCAACAACTTATCCTGTATTAACACACACTAAGCCATACACACTCAAAAGAAGTAGCAATTAAATTCTAAAGTTGCACATTAAGATTATTTCCTTTACAAAATACCCCTCCCAAATAAAATGGCATGTGATCAATAATTATACCAGGATACAAACAGTTTAGCTATGTGTCTCCATGGAATATCATTGCTCATATCTTCCGCCTAAATTCAAGGAGTTATGAATAAGAAGAAATTTCAAGAATAAATGAATAACAAACTGAAAGTTAACCCTTTCTTACCAGCAGGAATTATGCCAATCCTTACATTGCACTGGACTAATGGTGCTTTGGGATTATTTTGATCTATGCCAGAGTCCTTCTGCATTCTTCCAATGAGACCATGCATCACTTCACTGAACATGCCGTCCCCACCAACACAAACAACACTGCCAGGAAACACAAATTAGAATGCACACTAACAGTCAATAAACAACACAGCAAGTGTTCTACTTAGGGCATGCACTGGGCACATCAAAAATAGCTGGTCTATTCTTCTCTTCCTTTTTAATGTGATATAGTTGCCTACAGTCAACTTGGCAGTTACAATCAAGCTACACAACTGCAAGGCACCTACACGTGTCTGTAATGGTAGAAAAAAAAATGTTGGAATGCAACCTAGTATCTTTATCCTCTATTGCTGTGTGCAGACAGACAAGGATCAGTGGAAATTCACTATACAAGGGAAACACTGAACAGGACTGTACGTACAGTTTTCCAAGTAAATAAAATGGAAATAGCATACATTTACTAATAGTGAAAAATTAAGCTAATATTTGTGGCTTCAGGCAGAAGTATACACTATTAATTTAATAGGGGATATATAGTATATAAAAGTCAAAAACCAGAAAACTGCATGCTTGCATTCTCTTCTGAACATGCTGAGAGCCCAAACAGACAGAAGTCCTGTATATCTACACAACCACCCATAGTGAAACGCAGCGTTCTATCTGCTACCAAAAGCAAAACTTCGTTTTGCAAACTTAATTCAGGTCAGAGCTGATGCAGCAGCTACACAGATCCACAATATGTTAAAGCTCAGCAGAGAGTCCACAGCCAAGCAAAAGCTAGGAAGTAAAAGACTATTTTACAGCAATATACATTTCATGCACAATAATCAAATGGACACCATGAACTCCAAAAACATAAACTATTTCAACTACATTTGAAAGGCACACATGATAAATCCAAAGTTACACAGGTAGTCCCCAGCACACGTGTTTAGGAATGCTTACTGTTATCTATAGCAATCATTTTCAGTGCATAAGCCAATACTTACTCTTCCACATAGTCAGCAACAGACATTGCAGAATGAGCACTTGTTCATAGGACAGGTTAGTTTATTTAGTTTTTAAGTATTGATGATTTAAGTCTACTTATTATTGTATTTTCAGCAGAAGCTTGAAAAACCCCAGTCATTTTTTCATGAATGGGGAGGACAGTCTTAAAAATACACTGTCCAATTCTGAGTCAAGACCTAAGAGACTGGGAGAGAAGGAAGAAAACGATGTTTTTCATTTTTATAATGAATTTATAATCTCATTGCTTAACTACATTATTCCTCAGTTTTAGACTGTCTCATCTTTCTCTGCAGACTCTAAGAAAGGTTGAGTGGACAAAAATTTCCATGTCAGAACACTACTGAGACAATACTGACCTTGAACTATCTATAACAAATACTATATCCAGGCTCAGAGATGACAGTATTAATGTCTAGACCTATCAGATAAAGAAGTTCACATACACAATATCAGCATGACCAAACTCAAAGCAAAAAAATCAGATGTGAAATGCATGCACATGAAAGCCCCTAGCAAAGAACTACTGTAAGAGTGATCTTCTTAGAGCAATTCTTACATTCTGGTTTTATTTTTCTAATGGACTAGCATTTCAGTTTTTAGACAGATGGTAACAGTAAACTACATATGCTAAAAGACCTCAGGAGAGCCCACAAGAAAAATGAGTTTTAAAAGATCTATGATCCCTTCTAATCTCAACCATTCTGTGAACTAATTCAAAAGCTAGGAAAAAGAAAACCCCAACCTGAAACAGTTTTAGAAAGGCTTGTGCAGTAGGTATATGGGTAAGGAAGTGATTCATACATGCCAGACTTACTCTAAATATGGACAATACCTGCATAATATTACAGCGTGCTGTAGTTCTATACAGCAATGTATGAAAACCTGCTATATTGCAACTGAATGAATATTTGAAGTAACTGTCTTTGAAGAGAAGCTGTTCTGTCACTGGGCCATTAGATCAGTACACTTTGGAGATTCTTTGGAGATTAAATGAAGAAACTCATCACTGAATGACAAGAAAGAGCCAATCTAAGAAAATTGTTGAACAACAATTAGATGTAGGAATCCAAAGAAGCTCTTCCTGTACATGTAAGGAGTCAGTCAAACTTGGAGAAATGTGTATTTATGAAGTGCAGACATTTTTAAAACCTTCCATATAGCTATGTGATCTGTTATTTAAAAAGTAGTATTAATACAAGAACTCCTTCCCAACATCACTGTTCACAACAGGAACACACTTACACGTGATGGACAAAAACTAGGCTTGGAAAGACAGGTTGTAGGTCCCAAGCTAACTGCCATTAAGGCCTAAACTGAGGATGGAAGAATAATGAGATTCTAAAAAGATGCAGTGCTCTGGCCAATTGTTAAGCTCAGTCGTGTTAGAAAGACCAAACCCCACCCCTCAGAAAGGGGGGAGAGCAGTCTAGGAACAAAGCCTGTAAATGTAGTTTCTTACTTCCACAATTTATCAACATCATGCCCTCATCCGACTTCTATAATGCAGATAGATCTGCTCCCCCAATAAAAGTACTCTGAAAAGATACAGTGTATTTCATTTTTGCAACTTACCAGTTTAAATGTACCTGTCAACAAGCACAACAAAGTACTATTTTTATATTCTCTAGTTATAACAACTTAACCACATGGGTTCTCCATACATTTGCATGATTTTCCAGCTATGTAACTTGGTTTGTGTCATGAACTGGAAGCTGAATAACTAGCTTATTTATTAAAATACTCTGCTTCTACAGGAGATTTAATAATGGAATGCAATTTCACAATTCAATTAGGTCTTCTTTAAAACAGTAGTTCCACAATAGAACAAACACAAATCCAAATTACATAGCCATTATTTGAACAGTCCTATATAGCAAGAGGAACTATCTGAAGCTTTTATAAACAGTTCCTGGTTTTCATACACAGGCTGAATGCTACTAATGCAGTGTTCTGGACTCATGTATATATCAAGATCACCTTTGCCACAAAACATTTCAGGGTAGCTTTAGGGCTATCAGCAAATGCTCAACTTGTGGACAAGCAGAATTAATCTTATATTCATCTTCTGAACACAGATCTCATGAAAGTTTTGTTATACTACACTTGAAAACAGTGTGTTGAACAGGTTTACTGAAACAGTTTAGTTTTCCTTTGATACTCCTTAATGTGGATCTTCTATGGAAAGGTAGATGCCTCAGAATTTTCAGCTGTTGCAATAAACTATCAGCAATGAAGGCTACTTTTATAAATTAGATATAGGAACAGATCACAGAATATATCGACTAGAAAAAAAGGCAAGTGAGGTTACTTACCCATCATATTTATTAATATTAACTTCAAGTAGATTGTCCTTAGCATGGTTAGCATGTTCAGTTACTATGAAGAAATAAACACATTAAAAATGATATATAAATAAAATGATGTATAATATAGAAATTTTATTATGATTCTATTCATAATGATTCTATTACCAATGTGACCAACAGCTTGCCCATAAAATGTATTTCAAAGGACTGTGTGCCAAGTAAAGATCTGAAAGACACACTCACTGCAGTACATGTGAAAAAATATTTCATTACAATACTCTGCAAATGAAAACTGTTTTTAACAGTAAAACTGGAAGAGAGAAAAAAGCATCATATAAATGAAGAGCTCAAATAGCTCAGAAGTACCAGAAGTTTTAGTTTAGTAAGCAGAAAATTGATATAAGGCTGACATTTTCTGGCTAGCTATGCTTTAATTTGAAAACAGTCCCCCCCCCACCACTTGGGTTCATTTTCTTAGTAAGAAAAGGTAAATAAGAAAAGGTAAGAAACAGAAAGAACTTCAGGTACCCAGACGTGTTTTAAAGAGTTCATATTGTGTTTATTAATAAATTAAAATATTCATCACTCACTAACAACATCAGTGGAGATAGAAGCCAAACTGAAGAGTGGAGCAACTTTCTGTTCATAAATCCTCTTCCCTTGTCGTTTTCCTCCATAAGGATTAATATACACAAGCAACTGCTTTGGTCTAGATTCTGCAGTATGGAAAAATATTACAATACGCTACTTCTGTGCACAAAACAAATTTAACAAGCTATACAAAACCAAACCTGTAAACATCAGAGTGAACACAGCACACTGACCTTTTATAACTCTTTATTAACAATTGCAACTCTATAAATCTTTACCGAAGTGCTATAAAACCTGCTTCATCTATCCTCTTTATTATACTGAGGATATTGACAACATTAAACACGTTGGTGAGAAGACACAAGGTGAAATTCAGAATAATTTCATCTGAGCATGTCTTGCATTCTTAATTGTTATTCTAGCAGAACTTTCCCACTAAATTACATTTGTATCACATGCATACAAGACAAAAGGCAAACCAAAGGCAGCAATAGTGTTTTTTGGCACTGGTGAGTGAAGCACACATAGAAATGCTTTTACATTAATTCATTTAAACAACATTCTTGGCTTTTGTAATATAGATAGTGTCCTTAACATGGGAAGGAAATATCTCACAAACTACATATTGCACAGCAAGTTCTTGCCTTATACTGTGTAAGCCCTTCCCTCCAGAAACCACCTTTGATACTGTTATCTCAAGTTTGTCCAAGTAGTTATGGATTTACATTGATGGTAGCAATGAAAACAATTACTACACCTCTTTACTAACAGACACACAAAATTGTAATGCTTCCTGCACCTAGGGAGCCTTCATTTTTTTTGATAGAGCACAAAGACCTGTTAACACGTTCGCATTTCCTCAGGTAGAATTCAAATAATTATTTAAAAAGAAAGAATAAGCCAGCACACCTACATAAGAAATCTAGAATGTTTGAAAGGCTTAAAGCTGCCACACATCCAAAGCACCATTCACCCTCTCTGGGAACCTGTTACCTTCTCTGAAATAGTTTGATACCAATAGAATGAACACTTGCACTCAAACAGAGATGACTGCCCAGGCCACATCTCTCACAGGTGTACTAAATTGGTGAGCAAACCCCATTTTTAATAATATTTTACTATAAGAGAGATACTAATGTTCTTGATTTGCATACATTACATGAGGTAAAATGCATGCTTACAATACCTGTTCAAAAGAACATCTATTATTAAACATACATTTTTTGTATGTGAGCCTTAAGTACTTGCTTGAGTCACATCGTAGGTGTTCTTGTACCCAGTCTCTTCTCCAGCTCTGTGTCTCAGATGGTTCTCAGGCCTATGCTGTAGGTAGCTTACCTATAGTCCCACCTCCACCTTCTGCTGCTCCCATCTGGCCCCCCTGGATGGACCCGCTTACCTCATCTGAGCAGCAAATCTGACCCACTGCTACTCCCATCCCTGCTCCACCCACCCTGCTCAGATACAGTGGGACTGCATGCTGGATGGCGAAGGCATTGCCTGTGGTGTGGTCATCCTTGATCTTCATTCTATCCTGCCACTCTCTGACATCTATCAAGGTATCTCTCAGGAATAACTCCTGCAAACTCCTTTTAGCATTACGAGAAGTAGCTGTCCAAGAGTCCCAGAAATGATTAATGGGAGCTCTTACTGCAGCACATTGTTGATGAGAGAGACTGGAAAGGTTAGACAGACACACAAAAAGCCACCCATAAATCTTACAGTTGCTACAATCCTTCTCCTCATATCTCTGGAGTACCTCAAATCTCTAAGCTTACATCTGCCCTTTACTTCTTTTATTTAAAGCCTCTGCTAAGCCTCCGATGTGTCCTTATTTTGTGAAAATAACTTTCAACTGAGCAAAACTGTAAGATACCTGTAGTCTTGACTGATTATAGAGTAAAACACTGCACAACTTAGCAAATATGCGAGATACAAAAGCAGTGATGAGAAGAACAAGACACTTCAACTCTCAGCTCCCTCAACTGCAGATACATCAGAATAATAGCAACTGAGATACAAGCCTGTAAAATGATGCTGAAAATGTTAGCATTTTAGTCAAACTTACTCTGCATTTCAAGTAATTCTTTCAGTGCCTGTATCCACTGATTACACAAGTGCTCATCAGCACACCAAAATGTCACATCACTGCACCGCCAGCGGTGATTTCGGGCTTTCTTCACATAATACACTGTTGAAATTAAAAAAAGAAAAAAGAAAAAAAAACTTGGTACAATGAGGCAGCTCTATGAAATGACCAACAGATTTCTGAGAAACAGCCAAAATATCTGTCTTTGGAAAGAAGTGGTAATTAACCCCCCACCACACGTTTCTGCAAATGACAAAAGCGTTTAGAATGTGAACAGGATATCTGTAAAAAGTCATAATGAAAACACTGCTCTAGGTCATTACCTTGCAGCAGGGTCTCAAACATAAACTTCTTTTAAAACCAAATATGATCCATTTTCCACAAACTAATTATAGACATAACATAAAAGTTCACTGAGCTTATGTATTATTTTACCCGTATTAAAGTCTACAATGTCTACATAATATAAATTGCCGTAAGCTTAAGAGACCTAGCCAAAACTGTCACATCCACTCCCATGTAACCCACAGGGTGAATTTAATTTTATAAAGCTGAAATTTAAGGAGAAAAAAGAAAAATTTAGAGTTTTCTCGTGCATTAAGTACTAGGCTGGTGAGACAAGAAGCACCCTTATCTCTCCATCTACAGTATCAGCAATCATTGTTACTGAAGGACTAAGTGTGATCAAAGTACTCCACAATATAAAGTTTTGGCATGGGAGCAACCACATTTGCCCCAGCTTTGCAGCACAGAAGTCACCACTCTTTCCCCAAGACAAACAGAAATCTATTTCTGGCACTTGATTTTAAGAATGCAGTCAATACTACAGCGAAAGTTTTCACGCACAAATTCTGAACCCAAACATTAAAACCACAAACATGTAGGACTCATTTTTCCAGCCTCTCTTGATTTTCTAATCAAGTAGCACAAAGCCAGTGTGTTGCTGCAGTCATTCAGTGGCTAAAATGTAGATGTTTGGACTTTACTAAAGAACTAAACCCAGCATGTGCTCTTAAAGGAAGGGGTTTATTCTCCAAAATAAGGAGCTTTAGATGTAAACGGGCAGATGCGGTTTTGTTTGTTTGTGGGGGGTTTGGTTGGGCTTTTTTTTAATGTTTTCTGTTTGGTTTGGGTGGGGTATGTGGTGTTGTTTCATTGTTTTTTTCTGGGGTGTTATTTGTTTGGGTTTGGTTTTTTTTTGGGGGGGGGGAAGGGGTGTATTTAACTATTTGCCTTACCTGTGAAAGCATGTGGCTTTCCCATTTTTTGCCATTTGCCACTATTTCGTTGTTTCTTGTTAAGTTCTGTTTCTTCTACAGCAATGATCTCCGAGGTTGGTACAAAAAAGTTTTCTGTACAAACACAAGACCTCACACATTAACATCTTAAAATAGCACCAGATTATTTCTACACGCAATATGTTATAGACATAAAATTAGAGTAGTTGCTCAATAAGCAAAACCAAGAGCAAAAGTAGTAATTTGTTGAGTATTTTCAATTTCCTTCTGCCTTTTGTCAAAGCACATAATTCATAAGCACCTATGAACTACATCAACTAATATTTCAAATGTCTATGATTTCTCAGAAAATCAAGTTTTCTGAGTATAAAAACTTTTTGCATGAAGCCAAAATCCAGCAACTAATGAAATTGACCCTTCAATGACACCTAGTCCAGATATCTGACATCAAACAGCATAAGAGGTTTCAAAGACTGCGAACTAAATCTAGTGCAGAGATACTACAGGGACTTGTATTCTCAAGCAACTAGTTGGCTTATGAAAGAAGGGCATTCACATATGAATTCTTAATACTTTAAGTCCCACTAAGCTTTTAAACTTTAAGGCCTCCTAAGGAGCAAGTTCTAGATATTATGTTTAGGTACTGCTAAGTGTATTTCTCTTACATCAAATTCAAAACTATTGTTTTTCAGAATTACAGGCCTCTTGCTCTTATACTGTGAAAGAATTTCCTCTACCCTCACTCTTTTTTCTTCTAATAGTCCCTCATACCTTCTCAGTCTTCTTAACTCCTGACAAACTGAGGATTTTGTCTCATTTTCATTATCAATTTCAAAATTTCTCTGCTTTTTCCTTAACTCAAAAAAAAAAAAGCAGAACTGAAAACACATGCTTTGCATTTATGTACAAATGAGCACTCTGTGTATACATACACATGTATAAAACTTAAGTTACTTAAGATTACATTACTAAAATAATGTCTTATATATTAACAATTTATCTACCTGTATGTGAGAAAAACAAGTATAGAGAATCACAGATATAAAGAGATATTAAATACATAAAATACAGCACTAATACTGCCATTACCAAGTTTTATCCTACATTTCATCTTCCTCCCTATTTTGCAGAAGCACCCCAGTGGTGGGGAGAAATATAAAACAAAGAGAAAAACCTCCTAAGCTCTTCACAGTGCTGACCACAATTCATTTGCCACTAGTTCAGCTTTTTCCTGCCCTATTTGTTTTAGTCAACACAGTTGTTACCTATTATAATGTCTATTGACATGTCATGGATTTCACACACAAGGTGGTGTTTTCTTTTTCTTTACAAGTGTTTCAATATTTGATTTGATTTGTATTCCTTTAGGGATTTTATCTTCCCACAGGGTTTTAGTTTGATTCATAAATGTAGCCTCCAAACTTTGCACTAGGGTCTTTTAGGAATCTGACTGTATTCAAATGTTTTAACTACTCACAAAACTAGTTATGGCTTATAATTCTATTTATCATATTTGCAGCATGATGGGGAAATGCAGCAGTCACAGAATGTCTTTATAAAAATCCAACAGCAGAAATGAACTTAATAAAAACATTTAACTTGTATTCAGTTATCGGTATCATACACATACACATGTAAGACAGTATCAAGTATTTAATACTGGATAGTAACAGTTAATTTCTCTTCCTAACATTCAGGGAAAAGGTCTGCTGTTGGCTCTCAATGTGATTACCCACCTATCCATTTATCAGAGTTAAAAAGTACAGAACAGGGATGGAACAATAAGTTAAGGGAAGGGAGCACGTTCTTTAACCTTTCTTTCCCAGAACTGCTTCTAGTACTCATTTTTCTACTGGCTACGCTGCCTATCCATATGCTACAAGACAAAAGAAAGCTTGTTGCATTTATAAAGATTGCACTTAGGTGATAACTCATTCTGTCATTGCTCACAGATTGCTACAAAACTGAAACTAGATTTATATCAAAATTTAAATGACAATGCCCTAATGACCAACTTGGTAAATAGCACTATGTATTGGACACTCAGTAGCACGTGTGCTAGAAGCAGCTACAGAAGTCATTGTTTTATTAGGGAGTTTCTGTACAATAGAGAAAGCTGTCCAACTGTACAGATAGCAAATAGATTGAAAAGTACTTCCAAATCTGTATCACTAAAAGCATTTTTGTGGAGTACTTATTTTAGCACATATCACACAGCTTATATTAACAACCCTAGACCTTGAAACCACTTCTACTAAGTTCTCCTAATTTGTCAGATGTGCTCTCCCTCTGACAGTCGCATGACTGGAAGTTCTGCTTTTCCAGTAAATCTCTTCGCAGATGCACCAAAAAAAGCAAAGAAGAAAAGTTTTTGTTAAATATGTGCCTTTTTTCATATATTATTATTATTATAAGCCACAGGAGATACATATCTGAAAAAAATAAACCCCAGACTGGGGGTGGGAGCAGTGACACACCAAAACAAGGAAAAAGAAACAAAAAAGGAACAAAACAAAAGCAAAGCACAGACTGATCCCACCTTCCCCCTCTAAATCTTTGGGCTTGGTAGCAATTCAAGATGTTTCTGTTCTATGAATATCGGCTGTGCCAGCTGTGGGCCCCTGCTACTTGGCACTGCACAAGTATCAAGCAACTTCACTGCCCCACCAGCATACTCCAATCTTCAGGCAGTCAAAAACACACACTACTTAACAGAGTAATCACAGAGGGCCAAAAGATGCAAGGCTTTCTCAAATACAAACATGTTATTCAGAACATTCTCTACAGCTTATAAAAACAAATCTGAATGCAGTGGCATTTGTGTTTGGATAGAGCTCAAGAATTTCTATCAGTCCAAATATGACTATCACTATTTGACTTAGTGCTATGCAGTAAGTCAAAACACATTGTTTAATCAGAAAGCAAATCGACAACTTAGCTGCCCCCTGCCCCTTTTTTTTCCCCAGACAGGAAAAGTTTCCATTGCAAAGAAATCAAATAGAAGCCTTAAATACAAGAAATCTTGCTTCTACGAACACAATGCCCCCATCTGTCATTTAATTACCAAAACATGCCCCATAAAATAGTAGGTCTCTCCCACCCTCTTTTGAAAGGTCAACAAGTTTCACATATGTACTAATGTCCTTTCACATACCTACTCTTGCAGCATTTACCCTATTATCAGGTAGCATAAGCCACTTCTTTCACTGATGTATAAAAATGCTCACTTCACCTTGACAAGTTTCTCCCAAAACATGGAAAAATCTTATTGCCACATTAACAGCAACAAAAAAATGGTACTTAGACCAGAACTACTAGATCAACATTAATGAAAAAAGTTGAAAAGTGGGCTCAGAACCATACCACATAAAGAATTTCACTCAGCTCAGCACAATATATTCAACCAAGCAGCACACAAAAGTTCCTAGATAAAACTCCAGATGAAATACCATGCCATTTTCAACATACACATCTAGATTCAAGAGACTGAATTTTGTGCTCAGAAATACTGAAGTACATATTAATTTTCTTAAACTATCTCCAAGATCTTGACACATTTTTATGTTTCGATGTCTCACCTTGCCCAATGTCTAACATATGCACTGTACTAAAGATGACGATTTGTCCAACCAAAGCAGATGGATGAAGGAGCATGGCAAAAAGATAAAATAATTAAAAACCCAAAAGACACACTAGACAGGTGACAGTCTTTCCTGCACATTGGCTATGCCAGTTACTAGTCCTTCCATGTCCCAGCGCTTTTACAGTCTTAACAGACAGCCTTCTCTAAGTGCAAACTGGCAAGCAGTGTGTTAGATGCATGCTACTTTTTCCCACATTAAGCAAGTGGGAGAAAAAAAAACAACAAACAAAACTGAAAAACCTCAAGTTAAGCACACTAACAGCGGGCTTCCTTTGCAAAAAACTAGCTAGAAGTTGTGAAGTGTGGTGTTCTGTGTTAAGAAAGGCATTTTGGTATGCCACTGCTGTCTGCTACTTCTGCAGAATACGTCCTGAGTTTATAAGCAGACTTACTCAGAACCTCAGTAAAGACTTGTTCAGTCATCACTGCCAGCTTCATACCCTACAGGCCAAATTCCTCCCTCGGAAATGTGTTAGCTCAAAGCAACACAGACATGTGCAAAATCATAAAGACGTTGCTGATCACAACATTTGGTTTATTATTAAAATTCAGCTCAGTAGCAGGGAAGCAGTGACATTCAGAACTAATTTAAATTATTAGTATACTCTTGTGACATAAAAGTATTAACAGCTAAAAAGCTGGGATGCAAATTTAAATAAGAAGGTTTTTTTCAGTCACTTTGGAAACTAATTTACTGTTAGGAATCACATGAACATTAAGTTACCTTGTCCTAAGTTTAAGCTTTGCCTTCACCCAAAAGCAAGAAACCAAGAACACTTTCTGCCAGAAGGTACACTGCATTATGTTGATCATGCACTACAGGAAGCTGTGTCTAAAAAAGACCAGAATAAAAGATGGTGGATGGGATATAGAGCAGAATTACAGAGAATTCATATCCTACAAGAGGGGGAAGGGGAAAAGAAAGGTATCATAACTAAATTATTTAATTCCAAACTGTGGAAGAGTCACAGAAACATATGAAGGCCGTGATCTCACAATATACAGGCATTTATAGGATTTTTTTTTTTTTTAAGTAAATCTTCAAGTACTTTGTAAACCAATAGACAATAGAACAGTTCCTTAGTATGATCAGACACACAGCTGGGGCTTCACATCACATATCTGAATTTGAATCCAATCACAGCAATTTGCACTTGTATCACTTTGCATATTGAAATAGTACCATTGAGTAGTTTCCCAAATTAATTCCATTCCATTGAATGTTTTCCAGATAAAATCTTTCCAACTCAACGATGAATACTTTAATGGTAAAGCAAGAAATAAGATGCACTTTTTCACCGTAACGAGGAAAAAAAACCCACCACCAAAGATGTATGCTGAAAAGCATGTATTGCTTAATGTAGGGTGCATCTATATTTGAATAATGTATCTTCCAGAAGACAACATACTCCAAAGAAACAATGCATTCTAAACCTATTATTCCCCACATCCTACTGGTTCAATGTAGTTAGGGGAACTATCTAGAGAAAAAAATGGTTCAGATTTCTACTTGTGCCCACTGCCAATTGGGAATGATTGATGAAACATGACCTTGGCTAAGGATGTGCCAACACACTAGAGGTGCAGGACAGGCCTTCATTCCAAGCAGGCTCACTTCTGCTGTTTCAATACTGCGTTTATCAAACTAAACACCCTCTGGAACCCACAACATCGGAATGGCATCAGTCTTGTGAACAATGGTTCTGAGGCTTCCTTGAGTGTTTTGGGGAGAAAAGTAGAAAAGACACTTAGAGGGACAAGAGTTCACTGGGAGAGACAGAGAAGGGTTAAAAGATAGAAAAGAAGGTGCACACAGGAAGTGAAAGCATACAGTTCGGTGTCTAGTTTGATCATCCCTTTATGTTTGTACCTTACAAATAAAAATTCCCAAAACACAGAAATAACAAGGGAATCTCATTCTGTGTTTGTAATGCCTTAGTACAAGGCACATAACAATCTTAGCCAATACTTGTAAAATACCTGTAAGTACATGCGTACAATATATAATCTGCTATGAAATTTGGTACATGAAGTTTTATCATCACTTCCATCTCTTGATGAAAACCCAACTGTGCCACCAACATGAGGAAATAATAAAACAATTGATCTGTCCAGATTTGCATAGGCTATTAATGATTAACAACTAAATCTCATGGAGAAATGTTATAAGATTGAAAAAAACAATATTCTTCAGAACATTTGAAGATGAAGGTGTGAAAAAGGTATATAGCTAAGAGTAACAGAGAAATACATTAAAGATTTCAGATGAAACTTTGCCCTTTAAGTTTAAACAAGTCCAAACAAATAATGGAAAATGGGAACCTCATTACACTGAAGAGAGAACTTGAAAATATGATGCTGTTAAACAAGGTCTAACAGTAGGAAAGAAAGTTAACGGGCTAGTTTAAAAACAAGCCATGTCCTGAACAAACATTTTTGGGTTTGTTATTGTTGGTATCTCCTCAACAATAGCATTGAACTCTCCAGAATCAATAATTCTTTCTTTAAAACGCATTTTAACAGAATTGGCTTTGAATTTATATATCTATATGTTGACACACTTGAGAGTTGACCCAGTGCCAACCTCAAGTACAATAATGCAAAGGGCAAGGTCCTACACCTGTGTCAGGACAGGCTAAGAAAGCTGGGGCTGTTCAGCCTGGAGAAGTTGCGTGGAGACCTCATAGAGGCCTTCCAGTATCTGAAGGGGGCCTACAAGGATACTGGAGAAGGGCTCTTCATTAAGGGACTGTAGCGATAGGACAAGGAGGAATGGGTTTAAACTTAAATAGATGAAGTTCAGGTTAGATACAAGGAATTCTTTACTGTGAGAGTGGCGAGGCACTGGAACAGGTTACCCAAAGAAGTGGCAAATGCTCTATCCCTAGCAGTGTTCAAGGCCAGGCTGGACAGAGCCTTGGGTGACATGGCCTAGTGTGAGGCATCCCCGCCCATGGCAGGGGCTTGGAATTAGATCATTTTAAGGTCCTTTCTAACCCTAACTATTCTATGTTAGTATCATTGTACAAAGATAAGAAAACACAAGAACCTTGCCATATTCTGTAAAGGACAATAGGACAAAATCTCTATAGTTTCCTACCTCTTCCTAACACCTAACTATAGCTCTAGTCCCTTACCTGTCAACATCTGAAAACCTTGACAAAACATGCACCAAACCATTTTACATATGTAGCTAAAACTAAGACAGTATTAAATACTCAACAAAAAAAAAAAAAAGAAAATACAGCAGTTGTATACTGCATAATCAAGTCTGTATTTAGGCATAATACACAGTAGTCACGTAGTCAAAGGCTAAATTGTAGAAAGATACCAATCTTGGTCAAACAACTCCTCTGTAATTATATGCTTCTAACTAACCACCTTCCATAGTATATTTATATAGTGTCATGTATGCTGCTTGTATTTCGAAAATAATTGCAGAGCACACAATGAGCCATCCCAGGTCTTAGAAGAGCTTAAAGACAACAGGGCAGCAAACTGTGATCATACTAAAGCACAAGTGCAAGGAATACATGAATTAATCACGGTGTTAAGAGGAAGCGGTACATCAAGTATTACATTGCTCTCTACAGAAATTATACATGTGCCTCCAGAAGACTCAGGCATTTATTTTTCTTCTCCCAAACTCCCTTTTCTCTCTGGATAGCATGTCACAGTTTCCAAAATGTTGTTAATAGCTATGCCATAGGACAGCAGCCACCCTCAGTAACCAGACTTGCCTCCTAAGGAATCTCCTGCTGACTACTTCAGAAACTGCCTCAGAAAGAATCTAGTTATTTTGCCCCACTACATCCGCTATGGAACAGGATTCAGCACAGGTTCATACTGGGTTTAGCCAAGTCAAGAAAACTTATAACTTGCAAGGTCTAAAGGAAGTCATCCCACAGCAGCAGCAACTGTCCCAAAAAGCTCTGAAACTCTACTTTAAATTTAAGATCCAGACACCTTTCTCTGGACAAATTTTATTTTGTTTTGAAAATTATACAGCTTACTTTTCACAGCAATATATTAGAGCTTGGCAGAATTAAAGAACTCATTTTTAAAGTCTTAATTTCATTCAGATGCTGAACTAAGTCCAGCAATTTTCAAACACTTTTTTCAGCAGCACTGTTGATTAAAACTGGATGAAGTCAAATTGTATTTACAGAACAGAAGGAAAGCAGACTCTGGTTTTATGTTACTATGAATAAGAAGAGATGTACTTAAAACATGACCAATTCTCAATTATGTAAACTACAACTTTTTCTTCTCGAGTCCTCCTTCTCCCTCAACTTTATTCAAAAAGCCTCAGGCCAGTAAGACATTATGTCAAAATCAGAGAAATATTTAAGAAGGATACATGGTAAGAAAGGAAGAACTATTTAACTACTTAAGTTTGGGAACTTGCCTGAGACTGGAGACATCTATACTCAAACTCTTCTCAGAAAAGCTTCTAGTTGACCTTTCTATTATTAGTTTCTTTCTGTTTCGGTACCTACAACCTCTTACAGGAGAATGACAGTAGTTTTCCACCCTACAGCAGCTGCTCTGAAAAGAACATTACACATTTCAGGATGCTCACATACCCTGCTAAGAGGGCTACATTATTAATGTGAATAATTACTATGTTAAAAACGCCCAGGTCAGAGACTGACGAAATACCACCTACAGTGTAGCAGAAAGCTTGATATACGTGTACACACATTTTCAGCAGTTTTCCTGTAATTCTGTCAGGTATTTTCCACAGCAACCTCTCCCACTTGCAGTTTTATAAGTCAGCATTATTCTACCTGCAGAAAAGGTGAACAGCTTTGTTACACCAATACAATCTATTAGCCTATATTTAACACTTCCTAAAAAGTAACTCACAGAAATTAAACTTTCTTTGGAAATTCCTATGAAGCTCTTTAGAAAATAAAGAGTTTAAAAAAACCCACTTTTTTTTTTGGGGGGGGGGGGGTAAGCCTGAAATAGTGTTTCAGTATTATTCTTTAGGCACAAGTCATGTACCTAAAGAGAAAGGTTGCTTTAAAAGTTTTGTAAGTCTATTATGTCCTTTTGTTGCCCAAAGAAGTTGTGTCTGCCCCATTCCTGGCAGCGTGCAACGCCAGGTTGAACAGAACTTTCAGTAACCTGCTCTAATGGAAGGTGTCCCTGCCCGTGGCGGGGGGTTAGAACTGGATGAGCTGTAAGGTCCCTTCCAACCCAAACCATTCTATGGTTTTAGGATTACAAACTACATGCTGCTACCTGCTCCCAGTGCCAAGAAACAACGGGGTTCAACTACAAAACCCGTGCTTTCCTCATCCAGCTGCAGGGAAGTTTTCTCACCCCTCGGTGACCAGGGCCACGCTCTCGGACAGACGCTCCGCTCCCGCAGAACGGGGAGCTCGCTGCACTCCACGCGGTCCCTGCGGCTCAAAGAGTGGGAGCTTCCAGCTCCCTTTCGCAAGGAACCGGCTGACAGGTTAAGTACAGCCGGCTGCTGGCAGCCCGTCCGCGGTTACACCGCCGCCCGGCCGGGCCCCGTGTGATTAACACACTCTCCGTCTGCCACCGCCGGACTCCGAACCCCGGAGTAGACCACGAAAGGACACCGGTGCCGCCGGCTGCCGCGCTTCTTTTGTAGGGCGAACAGGCGCCCGAGTACAGGAAATCCACGGCTCCGGCTGAGTGCACCTTAAGCCGCCGCCGTGAGACCCGGCCACTGCAGGCCGGCACCGGCACCCGCACCCGCGCCGCGAGCTGCCCCGCGCTGCAAAGGACGAGAGGAAGGCCCGTCCCGCACTGCCGAGGGGAGGCGGCCCCTCCGGCGGCCCCGGCAGGTGCGCTAACGCCGGCCGGCGCCGCAGCCCGCCCCACCGCTCCACTCACCATCGCCACGGCGCGGCGGGCGGGGTTCGCGCCAGGCCAGCCGGCCCCACTCCACGTCTAAGGTGACCTCCCAGGCGCGCTGCCCCAGCCCCAGCGAGGACACCAGCCGGAGCCGCCGCCCGCTCGGGAGCTGCTCCATGGCCTCTGAGAGCACGGGCCCGCCGCACCCCGCTACCGCATGGCCCAGCGGGGGGAGCCCAGCAGCTAACGGCGCCCCCCGCCCGCCGCTACCCAGCCTGGCCCGCGGGCGGGGCGCGGCGTCAGCGCCTACGACAGCGCCGTGGGGCGGGGCTTGCGGAGCCGCGGCTCCCCGGTCTAGGCGGGGCGGGGCGGGGCGGGGCGGAGCCGGGCGGTGATCCCGCGGTGGGCTGCCCGTGCCCGTGTCCGGCGCGGCGGAGGAGGTGGCGGGGTCAGGGGCCAGCCCCTCGGCCCGCTGTGTGTGTGCTCATCCCTCTGGTGGGTGACACGGGCTCCACGGGCACGGCTCCGTGCGGGAACACTCGAGCTTGCACCGTAACGTGTCTGGGTGGCTTTCGTGGCTTTTCTTCAGAAGGACCAAGCGCCCATCACCGTGACGACGAACTCTTCCCTTATCAAGACAGTGACAATGTAATGGATACATCACACCACAAACAGTACCACTCGATCTAATCTTGCCTTCTGTTACATAAAAACATTTTGGGGTTTGCCTTCAGGATTCTTAACTATAATTAAACTCAGATTTACTATAATTAAACCCTTCATTCTTTGCCATCTTCCCCCCCATTGTGTTCCTGAATTTTATCGCTGTAATCATCAGCATCCGATCCAAAACACCAGCCAGAGTGCACAGCAGTTGCTCCACCTCTGCCCTTCCTCCAAACCTATTGGTTCTGATTATTTCCTGTAGAGTTTAGATAAGAATGTCACTGCTCTGTTCTCACGTGGGGCCAGCCTGGGGCCAGTTCTTTGCTTCATCCGGATGATCCAGAGCAGCTCCAGCTGGCTTTGTGCAGAGCCACTGCAGGTCCAAAAAGCTTCTGCCCTGAGCTCTGCTTGAACCCTGCAATGCACTCACACTTCATTTTCTGGAAATGAAGGAGCTTGGCAGTGTCACCCCAGGCATGTGTTCAAGATAGCCTCCCTGTGCCATGAATACCTGTCATTGCCTGTCCATCAGTGCAACATCCGTTCTGCTGGCTTTGACAGACACGATATTGCCACCCTTACTGTTGAAAACAGGTATGCCGCACTTTCAGCATTCCAAGGAACAGTTATTCCTGGCAGTTGTATTGCCCTTTTAATCCTTCCCTCCACAAACACCTATAAAGCTCTTTATACTATGATAACGTTTGTTTGTTGCAAAAGCCTGTTGTGAACATCAGTCTGCCAAATCCATTTCTGAGCAGTCACTGGCGTCTCACTGGTTCTTTGCATTTTGCCAGCTCCCTCCCCTGTTATCATCCCTCTTACACTTGGATGGTAAGATCCCTGGGCCAGGAACATCCTTTTTGTTTGTTGTACCATATCTAGCACATTTCATTTCCATTATTTGTAATCACTTCTGCAAGCCAGAGCAGCTGTGTGAAAACCCCAGCCCAATGCTGGTACTCTGGATGCAGCTGAGGCTTTTGCTGTTCTGTTGACCCTCTCAGACATGCTCCAGGAGCTAATGGATAAATTTTTATTCTAATAAATACTACACAGGGGTACCCATTTATATTTCTGCACTGGGAAAAGTAGATCTAATCTTTTATAGCCTGTAGTCACCCGAATCAATATCATGCTGTGATCCATGCTAGCTGAAGAAGTAAAAAGCTTGTTCTTTTTATTACAGTTGCCTATGATTATTCCCTTTTATTATTAATTTGACAACTCTTTTTGGCTTAGCCAGGCCTGAAGCCTTCAGTTGTGAAACACAGAACTGAGAGACTCTGGTCTCTTAGAAGCCTACAAAGGTGTACTAGCACCACTAGCAGGAATGGCATTTGCCATCCACATTTCTTAGTTCTTTAGGTAAGGAGAAGCCACTTATTTCTTCCTTCTACATCATTTTACTGAAACAGTGCTTTGGTCCATGATTTGGGATCCTCCATGCTACTACAGGAATGTCTTGCACTTCTTACCAGTGATGTGCTTGGTCTGCTCTGGCACTCCCTGTTAGTCCCTTGAACACGTGCTTCTGTCCCCAGACAGTAAAGGTCAAATTTGAGCCAACACAATGTTGCGGGTTTTTTTTCCAATTGGTTTTAGTACTTTATGATTTTTTTTTCCCCTTAATCTAACAGAGAAGGAACTTCTAAAGGATGATTGACTTGGCAGACTAAAACACACACGTGTCAATTGTTTCACTGCTTATTACATAAGCCTTTAATTACCACTAAGGGGACAGAACTGCAGATGCAGTGATGCCAGTAAACTGCAGGTTTTATAACCTAAAATCTTGGTGCTAAAGACAGCTGATCACAGGGCTCCACCCTGAGAAATGGCATGGTTGTAAAACCACCTCACTTTGCTCACAGGTCCAGAGAGGCCACAGGAGGGGTTGCACTTGTCGGGAACAAGTTGATTCCCAACTTAGGAACCATATGTTGTGCAACAAGTACAATTCACAATGTAAGATGGGAAGAATGCAGGAAGGTAGCACAACTTCCAAGGTTTATCTCTATGATCCATTTACTACCTGCGTAGCAAACAATGTAACTTCTAAAGCCAACTTTCTCTCCCCAGTGTCGGAGTTTGTGATAGCTCAATCATCTTGAATGACACCAGGCCAAGTGGTGCAGTTGATACTCTTGAGGACAGGGACACCATCCTGAGGGGCCTTGGCAGGCTTGAAGAGTGGGCCCACATGAACCTCATGAAGTTCAACATAGCCAAGTGAAAGGTTCCACACCTGGGTGGGGGGCAATCACAGGCTAGGGGATGAAAGGATGGACAGCAGCCCTGAGGAGAAGGACTTAGGGATTCTGGTGGTTGAAGAACTTGATGTGACCTGGAAATGTGCACTTGCAGCCCAGAAAGCCAGACATATTTTGGGCTGCATCAAAATGAGTATGGCAAGCAGGTCGAGGAAGGTGATTCTCTCCCTCTACTCCACCCTGGGGAAATCCCACCTGAAGTACTGACTTCCACTCTGGAGCCACCAGAACAAGAAGGACATGGATATGCTACAGCAGATCCAGAGGAGGGCTATGAAGATGATCAGGAGGCTGGAGCATTTCTCCTAAGGAGACAGGCTGAGAGAGTGCAAGTTGTTCAGCCTGGTGAAGAGAAGGCTCTGGGGACACTTTAGATCAGCCTTCCAGTACCAAAAGGGGCCAACAAGAAAGACGGAGAGAGACTTTTCAGTAGGATCTGTTGCGATAGGACAAGGGGTAATGGCTTTAAACTGAAAGAGGTTAGATTTACATTAGATGTTAGGAAGAAATTCTTCACTGTGAGGGTTGTTAGACATTGGAACAAGTTGTCTAGAGAAGCTGTGGCTGCATTCAAGGAAGTGTTGAAGACCAGGCTGGATGGGGCTTTGAGCAACCTGATTTAGTAGGTGTTCATGCCCATGGCAGGGGCATTGGACTAGATGATCTTTACAGGTCCCTTCCAACCCAAACCATTCTGTGAGTTTCTGATCTCTATAAGAAGTACTCACTCCTTGCAACTTCATGTTGTACTTAACAGGTTCATTACATGATAATGTAGGCAATCAATTAAGGACACTGCTAAGTAGCTACATCTTTTGAATCAACAGACACAGACGGGTAATCTTCAGCATGACCTGCATTAACAAAGTACTGATTTTATTCATTACCAACTTGAGTTACTTTTCTTCTAAATTTTTTGGAGGTGCAATTCATCATTAGGACACTGCAACTGATTATTTCCACAGTGAAAATCAAGCATTCCCTTGCAATGCCTTGGCAGAAGCAGAAGGTGCTATGTATCCAACCTTACCTGAAAGAGTGAATGAAGTGAAAAAATGTAAAATATCTTCTTCAAAGTGATAGCTGGATAATACTCACCTAGGTGTGCCAGAGACCAAAGAAGAATATTCCACCATATTTTTGCCACTGAGTTCTCGTTGACTGCTACTGCTAAACCCAGGACAGAAGTTTAGAGGGAATTGCAGATTTTTATGAAGATGTTTTTACTGCCCACAGATAACTATAAAGTATTTATTTTCTTCCACAAAGAAAATGTCAAAAGAAAGTTTTTTTAGAGAGCTTGGGAATTATAAAAAATTGTTATCTCAGTGCATCTCAGGCAAATTGAAGTACTTACACATTAATCAAATTTAGTTCTCAAGTACACAGACACACAACTCCCATTAGAACAGTGTAAATACACCCAAAGGCCAAATTTGGCAATACTTTTGGAAAATGGAAACTAACCAACAAAGAGATTAGAACAGAGGAAAATAATTCATTTTAAATATCAAAATACTGACTAATGTTCTAATTCCTTTTCTGCTTATCAGCAAACAAAGACTAAAGCATGAGCAGCTGCTGACGGAAAGAATGACATCATGTTATCTAAAAAAATACCTGGGCTATTTTAAAGCACTTCTATGCTTTTATCATAAAAATTTAAATTACATTTATTATTGGAAATGATCTGGAAAACAGTTTTGAAGGCTTGTCAAAAAGGATGATTGCAGCTTTTTATTCACTTGAGCCAAAAGGTAATTGAGAGAAAGCTGTTGATATACTGGAGAGTGTGGGCATGAATCCAGAAAATACTTTGTTTTAATGTAAAGTGAAATGTTGCATGCTGTTCCTCAGCCATGGAAGTTTACACAATCCTTCCTTTCTTCCAAAGCTCCAACCTATCTTCGTATTCTCCACCTCAAATACCTATCACTGTGAAAAACACTAAATATGATTTTTTTCAAGCTGTTACAGCTGTGACTCCCACTTACAGATATACACAGAAGTACTGATTTGTATGTCTTTATTTAGATGCTTATTCCTATTTTAATTATTATCCTCAACTGGACCCCCTGAGGAACTGTAAGACCTCCCTCTCATCTAACTGCAATCGTTTATGAAACAATGAAATTACTAGTTTACTGTTTGACAGAATGATGATGCTCTCTGGCAGTGTGCAGCTTTGCTCTTGAGAAATTGTTGTAATTAGTTGAAAGAGCTAGGAGCCACTGATATTTCATCTTAAGAGACCAATACAGGAATCTGAGATTAGTTATCTTCTTGATGGCCTTGCAGGGTACAGGGTGTGTAAGGGGGTGTATAAGAAGTATTTGCTCTGCTTTGGTATGAATGACTGAAGAGGTAAAGTAG